AGTTGCTCATTGTCGTGGACGAGCCCGAGGATCCAACGACTCTTCTATACTTGGACTACAACAACTCACGGCAAATCGTCAACAATCTGGCTCAGCTGCCCGCTGGTCAGAAATACTACCTCACCTTTGACGGCAAGAAGCCCAGCTCTGCTGCAGACCCGCTGGGGAGGACGCCCGATGACTTCTCCAGCTTTGGCCCGACGGTTGAAATGTCACTGGCTCCGAAGGTCTCGGCACCGGGAGGAACCATCCTGGCTACATGGCCACTGGAAGCCGGCGGATATGCTGTGCTGTCAGGGACTTCGATGGCCACCCCCTTTGCCGCAGGAAGTCTGGCATTGCTCAAGTCTCAGCAGCCGCATCTATCCGTCGCGGAACTGTATGCACGGCTTATGACCACCGCCGGCCCTGTCAACGAACCCAACTCCAAGCAGATTGCTTCTACAGCTCGCCAAGGAGGAGGCCTCATCGACGTCTATGCGGCTGTCAAGGCGGATACAGTCATCAGTCCATCTGAGCTCAGCCTGCACGATTCGGAAACGCCGGCGCCTCGGAATATCACCATCACGAACCAGTCCAAGTCGAGGAAGAAGTACTCTTTCCAGCACAGCCCGGGGTCTTTCTACCGCGTCTACTATAATTATCTGACCGGCAACACAGACTACAACGGCGGCAGTGAGGTCATTCCTCTCGACGTCCCTGCCTCTGCCAGCTTCTCGCAGTCATCCCTGACTCTGGGGCCGGGCCAGTCTGCTACGGTCCAGGTCCAGATCAAGCCGCAGCACGATGACTGGCCGTGGTCCTTGCCCGTGTATGGCGGCTTCGTAAAGATTATCTCTGACGATGCAGCTTATTCGATTCCATACATTGGCGTGCCATACAACCGCACCGAAGTTGGCCCTATCATGCACAACGTGACAACCCAGCTGCCGTATGACTCTCCAGGCATCTTGAAGCTGCCGGCAAACGACCTCTTCCTGGCCGACGGACAGATCCCAACGCCCAACATTGACTCGTACAACTGGTCGACAGACCCGTCCAAGTCATTCATCCCCGTCTTCCGGGTGGATGTGCTGCTGCCCTCGCGCTTCATCCGCTTCGACCTGGTGCCCGCCAACGTCTCCTTCGTGCCCTCCATCTACGGCTTCGACCCAGATGTCCACATCGACTACAAGCCCCCTTCGCAGGCCATTCTACCCGGCTTTCTCGGCGTACCCACATATGGCCAGTTGTTCTCAATCACTGTCGATGATGCGCCTGCCAACAGCCCCACGCTGTCGCAGCCCTTGATTAACCACTTCTTCGCTCAGGCCCTTCTGCTTCCTACGCTGACAAACGATGACAACGTGTCGTACAACATCTCGTCTGGAGATTACCGGCCGCTTCTCCGGGCGTTGAGGTGGAATGGTAACGAGGCTAACCCCGACGACTACGAATCCTGGCTGGGGCCAGTTATTCGGGCGGACATTCCGAGCGACGAGTTTCCTACCGACACATAAGGGCATTTGCTTCTTCGGGATATTTTTGCGTTACTCGGGATTTGAAAAAAAAAAAAGACCAAAAAAGTAATAGTCAAGTAGTTCCAGTCTTTGGGTGAGTGGCGACGGCAAGCGGAGTGGGATATGGCTTCGGCCTTTTGCGGCACTCGGCGGGCATTTCGGATTCGGTTTCGCGATCATGACTAAGAACCACAGCGGTCGGCGATGACTATACCTGACAGAGGCATAATAGTCGTTAGATAGTCATAAATATGTCTGACCAACTCCGAGTTGTGGTCTCTTCCCTTGCAATCTCCGAACACCTAGTTTGCGTGAAAACTGATAGACAGCCGCGCTAAACCTGCTAAACAAGTGTTGAGCTTTGTCGGTCTGTGCCCGACCCCTGTCTGAATGTTTGGCCCAGTGAGGCAAGTTGAAGAGAGGATGAGAGGGTTCTTTTGTTGTTTAATAATCACGTTTTAACTGACCAAGGCAATAAGCCACCGTAATCCATAGTGGTTCCATTCGTAATTGATATTAAGGAGGCCGCAAGGTTGCGTAGGGCTGCTCTTTTTGTGCCCAATGCAACGCAAAGAATGCTTGTAGTAGTTTAGTCTGATCGACGACCCTTCTCCCGTGCCATCTCCCGAAGACTGGTTGCTTCTCATGGCCAACTCGGACGAACTGTTGCACCTGAGTCGCCGGCCACCGGCCAATTAGCCGGGGTAAAAGAGACAGTTTGTGTCTGACTGGTCCAATTCAGGATCCAAGGTTCTGACCTGAGTTGACGGTCTTATTAGTCTCTATGCAAGTGCCAAGTGCCCACGACTTTGGCTCATTGGAGGCAAAACTGGTGCCAGTCTAGCGGGAGGATTTGCTTACAGGTATCGGTTCCCCAAAATACATATATACACGTATGAAAAGATATGGCACTGGAAAGAGCAGGGATCGGGTTGCCTTCCGCCTTTATTTGGGGGAGCGAGTTGAACAAGGATTTCAAATCCTCTTTGCTGTCTCAGTTGAGATGCTTTGGCCAACTATCCCACAGCCCTACCGCCTATATTCCAAATTCCAAGAAACCTGCTCAACACATCCACTTCCCAGAACTGGCCCTCCCCAGACCTTTATGCCATTAGATCGCCCAATCGACAGATGGAGATTCTTTTGTGCGGAATTCCGCTCCACCAATTGTCGCGGCCGCCGCTAAAATCTGACACGCTGACAAAAGCAGCTATCTAAAAAGAGCTATGCTGCGCCCTACCAGGCTGGCTTGCCGACCCTGTTCAAGCGGAGCCTCATAGTGAAGATCATGTTGTTTGTTAGCTCAACTTTGGTTCGTATGGTGATAGTATGGCAAACTACTGCTGTGAATTGCATCGTGTTTTTGCCAGCAGTATGGGATGTTCAACGGCAAAACATTGCTTCAGAACGCCGAGACTAGGCATTTCCATGCAGAAAAATCGACATTGGCTGTTTATTATCGCCGTAGTCGTAATTTCGGTGTTAGTCCACCTCCATCGGTTATAGGAGAGAGAGAGATGGGCAAGGCTTGTAACATTTGTATATATATGGTCTGTTTGGTTGTCTCTGTCGGAAAGACTTTTTGCTTTGATTAATCTTGCCGAGCATTTCCATCTCGATAGGGCCCCAGGGACTTCTGGCGTTTTGATAATACCACGTTGTCTCTGAGTCTATCTTCTGCAACTAAACTATGCTGTCACCCCTGTCTTTCCTCAGAAAGCTTATCCGAGGCGTTTTCCTTCTTGGTTTGCTTATTAGTTTGTCGAGCTGTTCAACCACGATAGAGCTCGAGTCAGGCCTCCAACGAACGCTGACGCCCATCCGCCATGCCAACGCTTCCACTCTGTCCATCGCTTACTATGACTCGGCACCGAACGATTCAAGCGCGCCAGTGGTCATCTTGGTCCACGGCTTCCCTTACTCCATCGACACCTACGTCGACGTGGTGCCAAAGCTGATGGCGCAGGGATATCGTTTGATTGTCCCGTATATGCGAGGCTACGGCACGACGACCTTCCTGTCTCCCACAACCCCACGTAGTGCAGAGCAGGCCGCCCTCGGCAAGGATATCGTCGACCTGATGGACGCTCTGCATATCGACAAGGCGATATTCGCCGGCTACGACTGGGGCACGGTGGCCGTCAACGCGGCAGCAGCCCTGTGGCCGGGTAGATGCTCCGGCATGGTGGCTGCAAATTCATACCTGATCCAGAATCGCCAGACGGCGTGGGCGATCGCGCCTCCCGCGTCCCTGGCTAACCGCTGGTACTTTTACGTCTTTCTCACACCGCAAGGATTCGGCGGCCTCGCCAATGACACGCGGGGATGGGCTGAGACGCTGTGGTCCAAGAACAGCCCACAGTGGAACTATACTCAAGCTGAGCTCGACGCTGCGGTTCCGGCGTTTCGCAACCCAGACTACGTCGAGATCGCGACCAACTTTTACCGCAACCGCCTGCTTTACGCGCCTGGAGACCCGGCCTACGCAGAGTTGGCCGAGAGGCTCGACTCGCTGCCTTCCATCCACGCCCCCTCCGTGACGCTGGATCCAGACCAAGCGCCAGTCTTTCCCGCAACCGATGGATCGTCCACGGCCCAGCACTTTGCAGGGCCTCGGGTGCATCACATTGTGCATGGATGCGGCGAGAACATCCCCTTACAGAGCCCCCAGGTTTTTGCAGACGCGGTCATCGAGGTGGCGGCCCTGGGAAATCATCATCATTAATAAAACTGGCGACGTGTAAGAGACTACATGTATGATCCCTTCCCGGTTTTCTATTATACGTGTATAGGATATATGGGGGTCTGGCAAATGCTGCGATTACAAACTTACTGCCAATAGCGGAAATGATCTTTTTAGGGGGGGTATAATTTACAATGTATATAAACCGGTCCACGGTCCCCTCTTTTCCCTTTTCCTCTCTTGCTCTTGTCAGCATGCAAGTTCCTTTTGGGGAAAACCAATTCTTACAACAAAGCAACCCATAGCTTAATATGTGGAGTCCCACAAGTCCCACAGTCTAACAGGCGAGAAACCCGCGCGGCTGTTGTCGTTTGTCTTGCTGGTAAGGCGAAACGGTGCTTTTTTTCGAATCCTTTTTGATTTATCGAATTCCAAACTACGAAGTCTTGCGAGCTAGTTGAGCACAACAAACACAAATAAGCTAGGCTGGTTCCTAAACGTGCATTTGTCATTGCCAAGGGGTGGCGCGCTACTGTACAACCAGCCCCCAAAAGGCCCAAGTCTTTAGATCCCGCGGAGGTTCTTGTGCTAACCACGGAGTGTTTTACGAAAGGGAGAAATAGAGTCCCATGCGGATCTAAATCTAGGCGACATACATCTCGTTGTGGCAAACCCTCGGCCCCACAAGCCCTATCTCCCCTTGGTTCCCTCCTAGGCGAAACAAGCGGGACAGGGCTGAGAACATGCAATCATTAATGAATAGGAGGGAACCCAGTTCGCGAGACGAGTTGACAGAGCAAATGGAGTTGTTGGGAAACATGGCGACCGTGAAACCTGTGTTGCGGCGAAGCCACACGAAATCAAAATTTGGCTGTCAAGCTTGTAAGCAGCGACATGTCAAGTGTGATGAGTTTCGACCAACATGGTTTGTCTTTCTTCTCTCTCCCCTTTTTCTATTTCAAAGTAACTTAATTCCATGCTAATGACTCGGATTTTTCTTTTTCTCAATAGCCACAGATGTCTTTCGTCAAAGATTACATGCAAGTACCCCGACCAGACTGAGGTGGAAGACCCAGACGAAAAGGAGGCCTCAGCCCTATGGTGGCCGGTAGACATTGAAAAATCATGCGAGCAATGGAAAGAATCAGGAGAACCGCCATTTGTGTCGCTTTCACCGTCTCCAAGCTGGCACAATATGGACATGAAGGACCTGAAGTACATCTACAAGATGGCTCTGGTTGCCAACATCCTCGACCTGAGCAATACAACCAACATTTGCCTATTATGGGGTGAGATGGGCGTGTAAGTGTTGAGTCTGAATTGCAGCAGTCTTTCTAGAGACTTTCAAGTTGATCGGCTGACTGTTTGATTAGGCTTTTCCAACTCGCAACACGCTACGACTTTGTTGCACATACCTTGGCTGCTACATCAGCTCAGCGGCTTGCAGTAACTACAAAGTCACATGAGGCTTCTCAAGATGCGTATCAATATCGGAAACAGGCTCTTCATGGACTATATCGAGCAATGGGGTGCTTTTCTAAAGAGAATGCTGATGCAATTCTCGCCGCGTCCCTGGGATGCTCATATATAATGTCCGACCAGTAAGTAAACTATTCCCTCTTACAAGATTAATCAAATCAAAGATTAATCAGACTATACAACACTACACAAGTACAAGCTCGTATTACATAAAATACGGATGAGCTAACCGTTACTCCTAATAGTCGCTCCCTGATGACCCTAGCAGGAAACATCTCTACAGTAAGCCTCGACAAAATCATTCTCTCTTCCACACCGCTCACAGTAGAGCAGGTGGCCACCCGGATGAAGCCTTGGCTCAAACGGTCGGCCTTTCACCAAATCTTTACATTCGAGCCAACGCACTACGAAACCGAAGAGCAAGCAGCCTCGTCGCCTCCCGAGACAGGAGACATGGAACACCGCTTCGCCCTCATCAAGACGCTTCTGGCCGAGGGCATCGGCTCAGTCAACGGCCTAGCTTTTTGCTTCCAGGGCGACCGCGATCTCTCAGCTGTGCTTCGACAACTCCGAGACGTCATGCGGCTCGTCCATGAACGACTCGGCTCCGACCTCTCCGCCGAAGACCAATACCGCCTCGTCTACCCTTTCACCGCGTGGTTCGTCAAGAACTCGGCCGCCTCCTACGTCTCCCTCAGCGCAAAGAACCCGTTCCTGCTAGTCTTTCTTCTGCACATGTACGCCGTTGTCGTCTCGCTGACAGTGTCCCTGCCGCGCATCGACGTTCCGCTGTTTGCAAAGTACAGACTGCGAGCGATTCTCGAAATCTGCAACATTTTGAAAAATGAACCGGGCTTCTTGTGCCAACGGTGTAACGGGTTTCACTCATATGAAGAAGTCATGGCGTTTCCGTTGAATAGCGTGTCTGTGTATCAGCAGTTTGGTAGAGAGACGGGTCTTTTAGAAGCATAACCAGCGAGCATCCTCCCCTCCTTTGATTTCTTTTCTTCATTTCTTCTTCATTTCTCCTCTCTTGTTATTGATTCCCTTTGTCGTTTTTGGAATAGCAGTTATAATGCATTCTGGATGCGCAGCGATATGCGGTTTATTTGGCATGCTTTAGCGACAAGCATGATGCTGGAATGGAATTGCGAGCGTTGCTTATCGGACACATGGAAGAGCGGAACCAACTGGACCGACCGTGTCATATATTTCATTGTATTAAAGAGTCTAGACAGACATACCCTTGTTGGGGTTGACAAATAGAAACTTCAAAGTAACTATTTGACTCGTTGTCATGGTCATCTCGTGAGTTGAATCACGCCGCTTCAATTGCCGTCAGCCTTCAATACCTTGTCTAATTTTAGCAGAAGTTATTCCAGACTGGTGAAGGAAGAAGAGAGAAATTAAATTAAATAATGATCAACAGTTGAGGAGGCTACAATTGGACCCACCGACGAACACCTTTGCAGCCTTGCGGATAAATAAGCATGGGCAGACGACATCCTTGTTGAGAGTAAACGCGGCATCGTGTTGCCCCGTCTTACGGGAAGCCATAACCATAACCATAAACAAGCGGGAGATCGGGCAGATCCCCCAACTCAGCTGAAGGTCTGTAAATAGCAATTTTTAAATTACTTCGAATGCCTAGATGGAGTGCTGATGCTAAAGATAGATGGTCCTAGTTTTGTTTCTCCAGGGACTTGACGATGCGGCATATCGCGGAGCATACTGAATCGGCAAATAGCGTCGCCAGAGAGCAGTAATCAATCGGCCGAATCTCGTCGCACGGACGCTTCGATGCAAAGTATTGAGTATTGAGTGCGAAATTGGAGAGAGAATTCACAAGTCAGCGTCGCTTTCATGTCTATTTTCAGATCAGGCCTAATGCAGGTCCTGTTGATGGATCTTCAGCCGCATCACGAAAGAGGCAACTGTTCGTCTTTCGCAACGGCAATGGACAAGTTTGCTCAGGATGCGATTGAAAGCGAGATGGAAATATCTTCAGCGATCTTGGCCATCATACGGATATATAAAGAGCATGATGAAGCCCTCGAGTTGATTCGAAACATCCAGCATCACAACAGAGACACATCGACACAACAGAAGCATCAACCTCATCTCTCCAACACATCATTTTACAGCAAACTCACTTTACCACATACATCACATACACTACAGCCTACAAAATGAAGACTGCCTTTGCCGCCCTCGTTTTCTCCCTGGCATCCATCGTCAGCGCCTATCCCATCACTGGCGATGTTGTCAATTGCCGCACCGGACCGGGCACCAGCTACGCCATCAAAAAGTCCTACAAGAAGAACCAAGACATCTCCATAAGCTGTCAGACAGCGGGAACCAGCGTCAATGGCAACAGCATTTGGGACAAGACCGCCGACGGCTGCTACGTCGCCGACTACTACGTCAAGACGGGCTCCAGCGGCTACGTGACCAAGAAGTGCACTGCTTCGTCCGGCGGCGGCTCCTCGTCCTCCAGCTACTGCAAGACCATCAACAGCGCCGGCGTCGATCTCATCGCCAAGTGGGAGGGCTTCGTCGCCAGCCCCAAGCCCGACCCCATTGGCCTGCCCACGGTTGGCTACGGCCATCTCTGCCAGCAGAAGAACTGCAGAGAGGTTAAGTACAAGTTCCCCCTGACCAAGACCACCGCCAAGGAGCTGCTGCTGGACGACCTGCCCAAGTACACAAAGTGCCTCGCCGACTACCTCAATGACAAGCCCAAGCTCAATGCCAACCAGTGGGCGGCCCTTACGTCCTGGGTCTTCAACGTCGGCTGCGGCAACGCAAAGACATCGACTCTCGTGAAGCGCCTCAACAACGGCGAAGCTGCCAACACTGTTGCCGCAGAGGAACTCCCCAAGTGGCGCATGGCAGGAGGAAAAGTCCTGCCAGGCCTCGAGGCTCGCCGCAAGGACGAGGTCAAGCTGTTCAAGACGGCGTCATCGAAGCAGGCCTATCCAAAGTGCCAGTGAAGTAACGGTCAAGTAAGCTGAGCTGATGGGCTTGGTTACTTTACTCAGCCCTACCTGCTGAATAATTGGGATGAAATGGCCCAGGGTGGCGAAGAGTTGGTTTGGGGCGATTTAGGGGACCTGAAGGTAGATGCAAGTAGATGGAAGTCACTTCTTTTTTCTTGTTTGTTGTTTCTTTATCGCGGCTTACTGGAGGATTCCTCATGCAGAAATAGACGAATTGAATTGCTTTTTTCTTTCAGCTTCATCATACTATTGAATCCTTCAACTGTGATATGCTTACACACTGCATGTTAGCCAAGTAAGCAGCTGCAGCTGCAATTGCAGGCCCTGTCACAACAGAACAGACAGACACGTCGAGCTGATGGGATTGAGCCACCACAACCTACGTGTCCCAGTAACCAGGTGAAGCCCTCGCCAAGCGCAAACGCCTTGCGCACGTGTTGCCCCCATTAAGAAAAGACAGACGTCAACGTTTGGCATCACGTTACCACAAAGTGTGAATCCCATTCGTCGTTCGGCTACGGAAGGGTCGGGCGTGGCTTGCGGTAGACGAGCATCAGATCAGCCCTCTCGCCCTAGACCGCAAATGTATGGGCCCTTCGAATTTCAGGGTTCAAGGAAATCAAATGCCAATTTGAATTGGAATTGGGCGAGGCGGCTCGATCGGATCCCTCCCGATCCAGAAAATCGGGATGGCCGTGCTTTCAAATTGCAGGGCGATTGGTTACGTAGTGACTCCTATGCAGAAGCCCTCAACTCAAACGTCTTGCAAACTGGAAACGTGCCCCCCCCTTGGCTGTTTTTTTACGGTAAAGCCCCCCCTTGTCAGGGCTGAAGCCGGGCGGAGGAATATGATGCATTAAACTATTTAGCATTGCCCTCCTTGATACGTGTCAAACAGCTGTTTCCTCATACTTGTGGACTTTCAATGGCTTAGCAACAGCCACAACAGCATCAGCTGGAGACAGCAACATAGTACCATGAAGCCAACAAAACTGGAGAATCATCGACGCGGTTGTGATTTAGGCTCCCAAGTACGGAGTAAACCAGGCTCAAAATCCACAATCCACTCCAACCAAGGCCCCTCCCGCGTGCATCCGGGCTCTCACATGATTCTTCCCTTGCCTAGGGCAAAGCGGCAAACGGGGCTCAGAAGCACAAGCTTCACCTCGCTCCAAAGCTTGTTCTGCGCTCAGCTCAGCTCAGCTTTTCGTTTACTCGTCTAACATGTGTTTACATGTGCTTTGTGAAATCAAGATGCCGTTTAGCAAAATGCATGCCGTTTTAGCTAAGCATTTGCATCTCCGAGGCCGGCTGCATTTGCATCTGAATAGCTTCCTTACAAGGCAATCCAGTAGATTCCAAACGGCAAATGATCAGCGCTGCGGTGACCTGTTTCTTTCTTTCCCCCGCTCCGGTTATTCATGCTTGTTCGTGTTAGTGCTCCCTTTGTCGCTTAATGCTACGAACCTCCTGTGTCTCGGGTTCTCTGTCAAAGGACTGGACGGATCGAGAGCAACTTTGTCTTTAGTCGGCTATGCTCGCATCATCGCCGCCATTCCCCGAACCAGGGCAGCCATAGATACGACGAGGAGCGGGTTGGAATTAGTAATTCAATTCGCCCTTGGATGTGCAAAGTAGGGTGTGAAGGGACGATGTGATGAGACAAATACATGCAGCTATCGGCCGTAGGCATCAACATGATCAATCCGTTGTGACAGCCATCCGCGACAAGAGGAGTCCATCGTGAATCACTAGAGCCCATGCCGTATCGCCGTATCCGCGCCCGCGCCCGGCCGGTCGATACGGGAAGCAGACTTTTCTTTTTTTTTTTCGCGCTCATGGGGGTATGGCATGATTGCCCTCCCCTTGTACGGAGGGTGAAACGCAGAATTTTCTCATCTCGTAGCAATACCGGATCACGCACGATGTACGACTCGTGCATGACGAGAGGACGAAAAAGAAGGAGGGCAAAACACCAAAAAGATATGAAGGAGACGGAGAAAAGCGTCAACTCTTTGCGTGTGCTTCGGTCTGCGAGGTCACCCCGGTCGCCCGTGTGACGCCGGCCGCATCCACTGGCATTCTCTCGCCTCATCCTTACGACAATGTCGACAGACTGTGGATGGAAAATTCTGGATACTCTGGAATTCTAGATGACTCTGGATGCTGGTCGTGATGGTGTGGTGGCCCCATCCAGGCGACCGCTTCTTCCTTTTCTTCTTTTTTCCTTCACGGGCTTCACGGCTTCACGATTCTCGATCCAGCCGGTATATCCATGGATCCAGCAAATGCCGCCTGGCCGGCACTTGGAGCGTCACATCTGGCGCATGCATCTTTCGAATGAGTCGAACCCTGTCTAGTGAGCTTGGTTGGGCACTGGTGACTCGATGCTAGTCACGCATCTTCCGTGCCGTAATTAAAATCCCTGGCCACCGAGCCAATCGCGACGACGTTGACGACACCAACCCGTTTTTTTATCAAATTTTTTTTTTTCTTCTATTCATTCTCTCTTCCATCTTCTTCGCCTTCTTCTCGTTTTTTCTTTCTGTTGGCGTAGTCCTTGCCGGTCTGGGCGAGGTTTGTAATGCGGCCCGTACGAAACGAGAACGGGGGGCCCAGGGATCCCGGAAAAGAGGGCAGGCCAAATAAGATGCAGTAAATCGCCAGCGTGCAGCTCGTGTGTGTGCCTTGATGGCTTGCGATGCTAGTCAAGGGGCACAGGAACGTGAACGACGCAAATAGTCAAGTGCGGTGGGAATTGAACAAAGCCATTCTCCAGTTTGCAGAGTTTTTTTTTCCCTTTCATCTCATCCCTGGCGATGGATGACTCCTTTTTTTAGAATTCGACAAATTCAAAATTGTTGGCAACAGGTAGAAAACCACAAATGAAAGCCAAACAGAGAGTGAGAGGGTACATGCTGCTACTCAGCGGCTACAAGCTCCATGGCGGATTACCCGTTTCCAAATCTGAGGTAGCATGACTGCCAGCCACGTATTCAAGCTTCAAGCCCAGCTTCGGCATCGACTTAACGTGACCCACTCCCTCCTGGTGAACTGAGACACGCTCTGGATCGAGGTCAGGCAAGCAGGGAAAGGAAATCGGGCGTCTTGCCGAGCTTGTCATGCATCTGCTTGGTGCAAACTTGGCGCCCTTTTTGGCACGAGGCGACGTCTGCGTATAAGTCGAGCGCCAGTCCCCCTCTTCACCTCCTCTTTCTCGCTGCTACTCTGCTCTGCTCGTTGAGAAAAAGTGGTCTGACTGTAGAACATCTCTCTTTGTCCTGTAGTCTTTGACTTATAATCTGCTCTTATCCTGCTGTTGCGTGAAGGCTTCAGACTCCTCCTTTGTGTTGTGCGCGTGAGCCAAACAATAACCACAATTGCTGCTCGCACGCCCCGGAAACAACAAAGAGCCCGCTGATCCGATCCGCCATCTCCGGCATACAATGCGCCGCTGCTCTTCTTCTTCATCAATCAGCTCTCAGTGGTCCTCTATAAGCGACGACCTTGAAATCGGCCAGCTCAACTCCATCATCCACATCAACAGCATCACCACCGCCGCCACCACGGTTACCGCCAGCAACTCTTCCGTTGTATCTTCATCTGCCTCTGTTGCACCCTCAATTATGCCTTCGGTCCACACAATGTCTGAGCGCCGCCCTTCCACCCCCCAGTATGAGCGCAGTCGCCAGGGAAGCACATGCTCCGTACTGAGCTGCGGCGGCATGAGCCCTGATGCGACCAAGGAGCTGTGGAAGACCATGTTGGAGCTCCAAGAGCGATATGGATGCTATACCTCAGCCAGAATGGATATGGCCGTTGGAGCGGGAGACATGGCCCTCTCTCTTATGCGTAAGCTTTTGCCCTCGAGGGACCCGCTGACTCGAAAGAAAGACGGAAGTGCTGACATGACAAAACACAGCAAATCCATTTATTCTCGATACGCTAAACGACTCTGTCGTCGATCTGCCCGATGAGGGATGGGAGATGCTCAATCGCTGTCTCCGACAGCCCAGGCATTAAAATCCTGGCCTCCTATGACCTGACACTCTACAAATTACTACCAAACGCAATCGTTGTATTTCTTCGAATGAAGCGCGTTAGATGAGGACGATATGATGGGTATATTTTTTCAGAAAGGCGTTTTTGGACTGGACACAAAATTTCGGCGAAGCGCTTTGGATTTTGCATTTCATTTCTTCTCATCTCATTGTCTCACGGCATATTTTTCATTTTGCTTCATTTTCTTCTTTTTTTTTATTTTCAAGATACCCTGTCCTCATTTACATGTAATGTGTAACGCAACACAGATTGATGCCCATGTCAATTTACATGTATACAAATGCATCAAAGTACAAACCATTTTACAAATACAATACTAAAATGACACAAAATATCATTTCCGCGGTGCCTAGTCAGACGATCATACATCGATGCTATGTTACAGTGCATATGCTATCATATCAAAAAAAAGGTCACGCTGATCAGCCCATCGCGTGCTCGTCCATCACAGCGTCTCATCCAGCAGTGCGTGCGTTACATTGCCCATGGCCCTTGTCTGGATCTTCATGCTATCTAGCACCCTTGACTTGACCTGATCATCCTCGATATCCATCCCTACCAAGATGCCATGCGTTGACCTGAACTCGTATGCCTTCAGGATGCCCCACATTCTGTGTATCTCGTCCGCGGGCAGAGGGATGCTATTCGGGAAACTCCATAGGAATGAAAATGAATTCAACCCAGGCGGCTTCTCGCGCTTCTCTCCTAGGGCGTCTACTTCCCACTTCCCGATACCTGCCGGTGTCGCCATCAGCGTGTCTGCAGTGAAGAGCCGCCCGTCAAATAGCAGCACCATGGACCCTGGAAAATGTCCGCCCAGTTTGATGGCCTTGACTCTAGGTAGAATGTCCGTCTCAATCTCGGTGAGGGGTTTGCGGTGAGCTGACGGTGTAGTCGTCCAGCGCAGATCTTCGGCTGAGGTATACACGGGACACTGGAACGCTCTCGCCCACTGGATATGCGTGCTATAGAAGTGAGGGTGGCTGATAACAATAGCCCTGAGTCCCCCGAGCTTCTTGATCTTATCAATCGTCTCTGCATCTAGATACGAGATACAGTCCCAGAGGATGTTGCCTTGCGGAGTGCGGATCAAGATGGCCCGCTGCCCAATTGCAAAGCGCGGCACCGTGTGAATGGAAGTAACTCGATCGTCATACTTGTAGGGTTCAAACTCATTGACATGTCCCGAGGCGCGAATATCGGCCATGGTGGTGAAGGATTGACCCGTAGGAGGGACATACTGGCGAGGATCATCACAGACATAGCACGTCTTGACAGCGGTGCGGTCGGCAGTCGGGAATTGCGTGCCGCAAGTGTTGCATATCAACCACGAGGAGGAAACGGCTTCCTCATAAGGCTCTGGAGTGAAGTCCATAATGCCGGGCTGCTAGTGGCGATGAAGCTTCGACATTTGGGGATCTCCGAGCTGGTTTTGGGAAGCTGAGCTGGTTCATGTTATTTATAGGGCGCGCGGGGTTGGAGAATAGACTTTGCGCGGCTCTTTGATGAAGCTACAGCCGATTCTATCCCTCGGACCCGAGACGATTTTATGTAATGATGAGGTCTGTTTTGTTTTTTTCTCTGTCTTGGATGTGATTTGTTTGTCGACATGGCCAAGACGGGACAAATGATGGCGCCGTATTACCGCCCGCTAACAGTCAGAACTCTGTGCCTTGGAGAATTGAGCTGGTGCTTGTTATTTGACAGCTATGCATCTATATAAGATCAATTATTTGAAGATGTATAGAGCTATAGCCGTAGCCATAATAAGCTTAAAACGTTCTGTCAGTTTGTGTTTATTGTTCATCTGCCAAACGGTGTCATAGTCAATGTGGTTTCACAGAGTGCGATGACATCATCACATGCACTCAATTCACGGGTGGTCAGACGTCATGCAGAGACACCAAACGGCGCTGATCTAGATGATAAGATGAACATCATAGTTATAGCTAGTTTAGTTCATGATGACTATGTATATATAAGTGGCTTCTCGGGATGATGAAACTGACAGCTGTCTGCCGATTTCTGCGGCAATGGCGCGTACTAAATGCGCTGATCATGGCGTCTACAGAGATGTCACTATGTGAACCTCCATACAGGATATGCAGAACGAAGCAGAGTCACCAATTTGGCCAAAATGGTCTGAAGCAGCATTTTACTAACATCTTATTACACAAGTTCATGATTCGATTGAATTGATGGAATGGTCTTCTCTATAATGAGTGCCCATGTAGACAAGTCCGTCCATATTCATGCAGAGGTGCTTGATCCCCATCTCAGCGGACGAGATTTCGGGGCTCGTCGTATTCCCACTTCATTATACGACCATCACATCTATCTCCTGTTTCTAATTCCTTCTAAAATTACCATTAAGTGTTTTTACATCCGTAAAATCCGCATCTCCGTGAAAACAAACGATCAGGGTACGTAGATGTTTACAAGGAGAATTACTTCCCTCGGCAACTTTCCACGATGCATGTAGCCAATCCTTCCGTGCAACCCCTTAATTGGCCAATCAGCATAAACACTTTAATAATCTACGACCAAAAATACCAAATTGGACTGAAAGAGGCTGGTTTCCAATCTATTCGGACAGATCGTCCTTCGTCCGCGGACCAAAAGTATTGGCTGTTACGACTCCACACTTGATGATTCCCTCACAGTGCTACGCTAAATTCTCAACTCTACGGACTAATCGTCTGTGATCCATGATGGCAGAATTGGAGATACCGGCACCATAACGTTGACATCAACAACAACTCCGAGGCTCGTATCATGTAGAACGACATCTATGTAGAATAATGAGAATACCAAGAACATAAAATGCTTCCATTTCCCGTAGTCTCATCTCCCGTAATACTCCCAAACAAGTAGCACAAGCAACTCAATAACCATCTCAACCCCAAATCCCATATATAAAACTCCCACTTCAACACAAACAATGCCTCAAACAGTCTTCCTCGTCACCGGCACCACCTCTGGCATCGGTGCCGCCTTGGTCAACCACATCATCTCCCGCGGCGATAAAGTCATCGCCTCTGGCAGAAGCGTGGAAAAGAAACTTGGCCATCTCAAGTCCGGAAACGTGGCTCTGCTGGAACTCGATGTTGCAGCTGGAAAATCCGTTGTAGAAGCTCAAGTGAAGAAGGCGTGGGAGATTTTCGGACACATTGATGTCTTGATCAACAACGCTGGCATGTCTGCTATGAAAACTATTGAAGATGCCGAGTAAGTATTGCTTATACTCCTTTCTCTCTACAGCCTCAACCCAGGATATCCAGTTCTAATCACAACTTCTGAGTAGCGACGACTACATCAACACCATGTTCCAAGTCAACGTCTTCGGCCAGCTGCACATGTCCCAAGCCATCCTACCCTTCTTCCGCGCCCAAGGCCACGGCATCATCTCATTCACTTCCTCCGGCTGTGCCTGGGGAGCACTCCCCTATCTGGGCCACTACTGCATGACAAAAGCAGCACTGAGCTCCTTCGCCGAGAGTCTGCACAAGGAAGTGTCTCACATGGGCATCAAGTGTGTTGCCTTTGACATTGGCGGCTTTCCAACTCGTCTGGCCCAGCCCCGCGAGGGCGAGGACGCCGCCGGCGCCGCAGTGAACCCAGACGACGTGGCTATCCCTGAGGCTCCCGTTTCTGAGCCTTATGCGGAGACTTTTGGGCAGTATCTCAACCTGTTCATGCCTGATCACTCGTGGGTTATCCCCGGCGATCCCAACAAGGCGGCATCCGCAATGGTGCAAGTTATTCAGCGTGAAGGTCCTGCGGCAGGCCGGCCCTGGGCAGTTCGTGTCGTTTTGGGGTCGGATAGCTTGATTTATGCGACGAAAAGACGTACGGAGGAGATTCAGCTCTTGCAGAAATGGAAGGATGTGAGCGCAAGCACCGATGCGAGGAAGTTTGTGCTTAAGCCCGAGTATGAGAAGTACATTGCCGTCGCTGGAGTTGAAGAGTGAAATGTCAATTTCTAGATTTAAAATCGTTATAGCTCCTTGTACCTGCTCAGCTAAAATGTCAAATCAAATGTTTACTGCGCCAAAGCCGCCTCAATCTCTTCCACAAAACCCTTCTCCCACGCCTCCTCTCCAATCTCCGGCTTCCATCCCAGCACTTCTCTTGTCAACTCCGCATTCGTACACGACCTTGATGCAAATCCTAGTTCCAAGTATTGCTCAACCGCACCAGGCGTATCTCTCGCCAAATCCTCCAGCGAAATCGCCCGCGGTTCAGCCTCCAAGACGCCAGCCGCAAAGCCAGCCCTGGCGATACCTTCTGCGACCTGCTTCCACGAGTGGCGCCCACTGCCGCCAAAGTAAATACCTTTTCTTCCAAAAGGCACATCTGCCTTTGCAAAGAGCTTCTCTAATAGTAGTTCGTAGATCTTTGTGGTGTCGTCGATGTGAATGTGGTCCCATACGCCGGCTCCCTCGCCAATGTACTCTGCGTAACCTTTCTTCAAGGCTCGTCGCGACAAGAAGGGAACTTGAACTGAGCGCTTGTTAAACGGGCCCGATCCGATACCGTAGATTGTTGGCGCCATGAGGATGTATGTCGGCACGTCGAGTTCTTCTCCTGCTACAACCACGGCAACATCACATGCTCGCTGAGGATATGAGTCGTGAGCTTCGCGCTTCACTTCGTAGGCGTGAATGTCCTGAGTCTTGTCGTTGAACTCGAATGGGGCATCTTCTTCGGTGTAGATTTTGCTAACAGGACGATTGCCGACGCTAGATGTACCTGATGTCTACAGAAGCAGATCAGCATTTAATGCCCACTTGGATAGCAGGTCATCGTCACTTACGTGAATAAACCAGACTGGCTGGCCAGTCTTCTTCTTTCTTTCCGCCAATCCCTCAATCAATGCCCTTGCTCCCAGTGTTCTGAATGCACTCGCCGAGTTGATGACAATGTCATGCTCAGACGCCTCCTTCTTCAAAAGGTCCACCTGGTCGAGATTCTCGAACATGACTGGCGTCATGCCAATGGACTTGAAGTGCTCTGCATGCTCAGGCTTCCGCACCAGCACGGTATATGACAAATTTTTGATATCAGGATGGGTTGACTTGAGGAGCCGGGTGAGGATAGAGCCACCGCTTGTATATCTGTGAGTCTAGGCTTCTTCAATTAAGGCATCACTTGATCAGACTTACATGTAGCCAGTTGCACCGGTGATAAGGACCTTTGTCTGCGTCATTGTTTCTTGCTAAAGAGTAAGTTGAAAGACGTCTTTAATCAAGCGCAACTTGTAAGTGCCGATTAAACCAAGCAAACAAGATCCAATCCATCATTCCACAGCCTCCATTTATAACAAAGAGCTACACCACGTAAACACTAGTAAAACAACAAGTTTCCAACACAACTCGTCACCAATTACTAATTCACCGTCTCTTCATTTCCACCGCCTAGCAACTCTGTTCTCTCCTCAGACTCAGCTACCTAATTGGAAATAATGTCCAAAAACAGGCGCGGCCATACTTTCTCACCACGGCTGCCGCAGTGGAGCTGTTCGTTCCGATTAGCTTTGCCCGGGTCCACATGAAAAGACGGGAACGGTAGATCCAATGTTTTCGTGAACCAGTCGAACATACTTTTAGAGAGCCCTTGCCAAGTCACTTGCGTACCAAGTGCGGCCAAAGTTGCTTCAGTCCAGCTTTTCAAGGGTCGAGATACCCAGTTTTGATTAGATTTCTGGAACTTTGGAGTTGTTGAGTCCTTTTTATAATAACGCAAACTGGAATGTATTATTAAATTATAATATCATTACAAATAGTACTGTCTATCAGAGAAAGAGTTGCGTCAACACGCTTCCCACATTTGATGCCCCATCGCAATCAATCGGTTGAACAGCTCATCGCGCATTGTGATGGCTGTCAAGTGATGCTCGGTTCCGTCTTTTGTTCTCACAACCAATCCATCCACCACTTCTCTCTCCATTGCCCATCCAACAAGAATCTTAGTCTTCCACCCCAAGCCTCCAACCTTCTTCAGTTGGTCAATGTCTTCAATAGCTACTGTCCACGCTGGATTCACGTCCTCGATATCCGAGGTCCAGCTCAACGCGGGACTCGTAGCCGTGGCCGTGATGTATGCATGGCCCTTTTTACCACGGCACCGGGCAGGGAAACAGATTGGACCCGACATGGAGTCAGCGTCTGAAGGCTTGTTCACGACACCGAGACGATTTCGTGCGTGATAAGCACCAGCGGCAGCTTTGGCTTTGTCGGCAGCGAGGGCCGTATGCACGCCACCCTTGGCGGTGCCTTTGAGCATATTGAGGATCCGATGTGACCGTTTGGGCTTTCGCTGCTGACTGTCGTCTTTAACGTCTGATGCGTGATCTAAATCAGGTTGAAGTGCTTCCCTCGCTTCCTCTTCGGTGACACCTATAAGACATTAGTATATGGTTTACATAGTAGGAGTGCGCAAATCAAGTACATGTACCTAGATTGTCGACCTGCTGTGCAGCTTCAGGATCAATCTTGGGAGGTGGTGGCGCATCGGAGGATGGAGGAGGAGGAATTGGCGTTTTATTCTTCTCGCCGATGCGCAGCAGCGTGACGGCAAGTTGTGCATTGGTCGGAATTCCTCGTAGAATGGTATTTCGCAGCTCAATGAATTTCTCCCAGCGCGGGTATGTCCTGTTGGCAAATTGCAGGGCTGGTGTGATGATGGGATCGCCAAAGAGGACAAATCCAACACCAAACCCGAGGCCCTTGAGCAGCATATACGAAGAGACCCAAAAGGAAAGAAACAGCGGAGGCAAAAGACAGGCAGAGAGCGTCAATCTTGGCTGTTCGACAGGGAACGGTGGTGTCGGGCTGAGGGCATTCCCAAAGCGCTCCCAAGTATCGACCAACTCCGAAATGAGGTGCATGACAGGTCCAGTCTTAGTCCAGACAATGTTTGAAACGGGCTTCTTTGTCCTGTCATGTTCTACAGAGGTTTCTTTTCCGTCTGTCGCGTCCTTGGCGGCCGAAATGTCCGATGTTATGTTTGTCGGATCTGGGGCAGTGTTGTCGTCGTATGGATCACCTTGTGGATGCTTCCCAGCGCTCGTACTTATGACGACCTAGAGGAGAAGCAACAAGATGTTAGCCATAATTCTTTCATTGAGCGCTACAAGGGGGCACGGGATCTTACGCCGGCACATACCGATGCGATGCTGTTGACAAAGCTGTGTGCTTCTTGCTCAACACCCTCGCCTTCGTGTTTCTCCGGCGCACCAGTGATGGACGTGTCAGAGGCAAGGACACCAGAAGGCGGTTTCTGTACGCCTCCTGTCTTTGAGTCGACGATGGATGGTGGTGCTGGAGGGAAGCAGATTGTCCTTGCTGGCGGATAGGCAATCAAGACGATGAGAAACATAATGACGGCCGGTACCAGCAGGTCAAATAGCCACGCAAAGGCGTACACGGCCAGGAACGCTGCCGTTCGCTTTGTCTCTCTCCACGAACGGAGGCGTACAATGTGTTTCCACAGAGAGACAACAGAGACCACCACCGTCATGTACAAGCGCTCCAACTGCGCGCGCAGCTTGTCTGGAGAAAAGGCATCGTCATCTGCAATGTTCATATCCAGGTCGGCCAGCGGAACGGTGTCTATGCTCTTGACCTCAAAGACCTGCTTGTTGAAGCGTCTGATCAGGAGCCAGAGCTCTTCGTTCCCCATTCCGCCGACCACTGGCTGAGGAACGCATTGTGCCTTGTCATTCCACCCGATATTCTTCACCTCGATCTCGTCGTGGTCAGTCTGGCTGGCGCCCTTGTTCTCGACCTCGGTCTGGATGCTTTCCTCGGCGAGGGCATGGCTGGCTGTTGGAAGTTGTTCATCGTAGCTTTCGATTATTTCGGGCTCGCTGCCGAGTCCAAGAGAGGACGTGTTGCTGCTCTGGTCTGGAGCGTCCATTTCGAACTAGAGAAACGACCCTTGTGATAAGAGCCTATCCCGATGTAAAATGCTGAGGGTTGAAGACTGTTTTCTCACCTATATAGAAAAGAGATTCCATCTTGGCTGCCATTTATCTGATATCCATTTCAACTGGGCCTTGATCTTGCCGCCGACGTCAGAATCATTGTTTGGGAGCTCAATCGCAGCGTTGACGTCACTGACTCTGGTCCAGGTTAGGCGGAATTGGCGATGATCGGCGTCATTCGTCTCCTACAAAGGTAGAATGAATCGTATTGAAGCCGTATGGAGGGCGAATGGGGTCGAAGACAATAAAATGGTGGAAAGATGAAAGAATAGATGAAAAGAATAACTGCCAGCTTCAGATTGATTACTTTGTCAGATGGAGTTGATGGAGCTGTTGCTTCTGCTTACCGTCGTAAGGGAAGTGGAGGATTGCAAGCGGATAGCACATGGCTTCCACCAACACTCATGGCGCCAAACTACTACAAACTAATCTCCAAGTTTGAAATAGTTGGCTTTAATTAAGAAAGCATTTCATCCAGCTTTTCTAACATCCTCCTTCGCGTCCCTTTGGTGATCCCAGATGCTTTGGGTGCACAAGTTAGTGCCCTCAATTCCAGGGTACCAACTGTAGGCCACTTGGGATGCAATTCGCTACTTCACATGCACGATACGCTTCTCTTTGGCAAATTGCTGTTGTATTCTTTTTCATTCAATTATTGATCTTGAGGCAAAGGGCTCGTATGAGCTAGACTACATACTCTTTAGAAGTAATACATGGTAACAAGACCGCGATCCAAAATCGCATCCTGGAGAGGTCCTACAACAGAAACCATCTACGTGCGATCGATTGACAAAGTAATAACACTCACAAAGAGGACGATGAAATCGCCCACACAAAGAGGTCTGAAAAAAAAAGAGAGAGTTGACCAATGATCAGCATACAGAAATAGAACATCCGCACATACCCACCATGCTAAGCTCATCTAGAATGGTGCTCTTGTCCTCCCCTTGTATGCACATACTCATCTTCATTTTGCGGTCCCTTTTATTTTTCAGCCCGCTTTGCCACATAATCGATAGAGCAGCGGCTGATAAGTGTGGTGGACAAATGTCAGACACAACAAGGGTCGACGCGTGAACAACTCACCTCGCATAAACCTATGGGGCTTCACCGAAAAAGAGACGCCCAAGCTGGCCCCCAAAGCTCATGTACAGGTACTCGTATTCTGATGCAGTCGCGCCAGCAATACAGTGATCCACGCGTAGAGCCTTGTCTACCCGACCTGCAAGGTTGTCATTCTTTCGGTAAGACTTTATGTTTCGCCCACGGCTCAGTTCCCCGCATTCAGGGCATCACCAGATTGCCAAGGGAGATTCTGGGATTCCAGTCTCGGCAATAACTCGTGACAAGGCTGATCAGTGTTACGTTACGTGAACGTGGGTTTGTTGGTTCACCCTAGCGTAATAAATTGCCGGGATTCTAAACTCTTTGTGGACATGACTGATCCAAATGATCTCGCGATTCTAATAGCTCTTGTCTCTCACGGAGATCGGACGACGTAAATTGATCGTCGGATCCAGGAAATCGGTTAAGGTGAAACAAGCTTCACGATTGCCAAGATGACACACTCCCAAGATGACGGTAAACGACGATAGCGAAGCAACGACGGTAGCGAAGTAGCGAAGCAGCGAAGTAGCGAAGGCGAGAGCAACAAAACATGGTAGAGTCTGAGGCGACAATTAAACTACAATTAGACGCCTTGCTGGTTTGGGAATAGGGACTGCAGAGGAAAGGCTGGGCTCTGGATGCGAATAAATACGAGGGCTTCGTTGGGCAGCATCGGCCGGTGAAGCGAATAGTGGCTATGGGCTGAATCCCTATGCGGTGCAGCGCTTCTTGACATGATGCTTCAGTTTATACTACATAGTACTAGTATTTTATGAATATCGTATGTACACATATAAAATGGCAGTAACTGCAGCGCTCTGTAATGTAACATTTGCTCTGGAGCTCTTCCGTCTCCTCGTTCATCCCTCGCGTCAGATGCACACCGACAAGATGCTTCTGCCTGCTAAACTTCAAACAAAGGGACCCAAGACATTTTCTCTGTAAATTAATGCCGCAATTTAGTGGAAAAAGCAAAATTGATACAAACTCCAAAAAAACGCAGATCGTAAACCCTTGTTCTTCGGGTCGTAGACCCTGATTTTGCAAGGGGCACAAGGCTTGTGTGCTTCCCCCGCCAAATCGTGCTCCTGCACCTGGAGCTCCGGTCAAATAACACTGGAACTCATTCGATTGTTAACTCAATTTCATCATTGATGGGTCAAGGCGTCAAAAATATGTATTTATCAAGCTCAATTATGGACGAGTCGCTCATTATTTGCTTGGGCAGCACAGCTGTACCGCAGTGCTGTATAAATGGAGCCTGGTGCGGAAGGAAAGCATCATGTGTGCACATAGTTTACCCAAACAAGTGAAACATAAAAAGTGAAAAAATAAAAAATAAAAAGAAGGGAAAAAAGAAACAATAGCGCCTCAGCGTGGTGTAAAAGATGTCCATACTGTCTGTTGCTCGTTAAGCCAAGCCGGGAAGTAATTCACGACATGAACCACGCCAATCGAACAGCATATGTTGTATAATGTAGCGGTTCGTCCAAAAGTAGAAAGGCTATGGTCAAGCTAATACTTTATGCTGTCTTGGTAATTTGGTTGATGGTGATGTTAATGCAGAGGCGGCTTCTACTCTGCGCACTCCCTCTCAAGGAATTGCTATGTACTCGTAAGGATGTACAGAATTTAATGACGTTTGATTAAATTCCTGCTACTATTTTATTATTTTATCATTATTCTTCTTCTTTTCAACTTAAATTGTAGGAGTGTGTGGATCCATCACATATCATACAAGGCCTCTTTTCAGCTAACAAGATGTCTTGTACGCATGCACCGCAAGATCTCTTCGATCTTGAGACAAATTTCCAGGTCTCATCGCTTCTGGGACCACTAATACACGTTCTAGGATATTAAATCAATCTATTTAAGCATGGCTGCCCTGGCGTGGCTTTCCTTTTTGCATCACAATCTCAGACATGAAATTTGGACGCCGTTGATTGGTCATTTGTACTCCCGCCGTCGAGAGGAGCCGCTCCATGGGCAGCGTACTCCCGCTGTCAAGATCTGAAGTTGATTCGAGTTCACAATGGGCTGTTTGAGCTCTGAGACAGTTGGAAAAGTTTTTAGAAAGGATCGAGGATCGGATTCAGGATGGTTCTGCTACGATTAAGGAGAAGTTTGATTTGCAATGCAGTGGATCAAGAAGAAATCTCAATTACAAGATTATTACCCGTTCAGTAGAATGCCTGGGATACCCGAGTCGTTCGCGGAGTATCTCAAAAATAATCCGAATAAAAAACGTATTCCTGCCATTGAGAAGCGAAACCTGGTCAGATGGCTCAGTGACCCCAGCGTCAAGCCCACCTGTCAGAAGGATTACAGCCGACGCAACTACGCTCACAAGGCCTACCGATGGGACGCAAATCGTCAGCAACTCTTGGCCAAGGCTCGAAATGGCAAGGAGAGTGACAGAATTGTCGTCACAGTGGATGAAATTCTCCGAACTGTGGAGTCAGTACACATCAAAGACCACCTGGGGTGGGATGCAACATGGAGACGAGTCAGCAAGAAATACTGCGGCATCGTTCGACAAGACGTTATCTGGCTCATCGTGAGATGTGGCATGTGCAAGGTAGACCCTCGCAAGAAATCAAAGGGCAGCCAGGCGAATCAGGCCCCGGCCACTGCCACGGCCACGGCCACGACCACGGCTCCTCCTGTTCTGCCACCCACGATTGCACCCCCTTCAGATGGGCTCGAGTTCAACTTCAATGATCTCACCCTTCAGACGCAAGATTACCCAAACATCTTCCAGGACGTCACTGTGGATGCCTACCAGAACCCCTATCTGGGTGTCTTTAAAGACGACTATCCAGACATCTTCGAAGAGGGTTTGATGGATATCTACCCAGAAATATCCCCGGATAGCTTTCCAGTATCCCAGGGCGGCTTCCAGGATCCATTTCAGCAAGAATTCCAGGATGGTGCGTGGCAGGGGGACCTGACGAATATCGATCCCTCTCTGCTCATGCTCGATCAGATGCTCTTCCCCAACTATTCGCAGGGTGAGTCCTCGGGCACCAACAACTACACTTACGGTGATGGCAACGACCCCGGTCAATAAGCCGTGGAATACGACTCCAGGGCTGTCAACGATACAAAATGGTGTGCCACAAGGGACACAATGGTGTTGGGGAGAAGGAGAAGGATGCTTTCTGCATCACTACCGAGGGTTGCAGCCCTGGAGAGCTTTGAATGGTTCGATGTATAATCAAACCTCATGTTTGGCTGATTTGGCGTGGAGCCTCAGAAAATTTGTGTGCCTATTTTCCCTTTGTTCAGGATATTAGTTTAACTAGGATGTCAGATTGTCACTCAATTGATTTTTGTTTTTATGATATTCACCTGCTCCTCTCAAAGTTCTTGATGAGACTGGAGACTTTGTGATTAGGGTTGCTGCCCGACTTGGTGATAGTTCTGTCTCAGTGAAGACAAGGCAGACTCTTGAAGAGTCAATGACTCGATAATCCACAAAACACAATGCATGTTGTCAGGTTGGGAAGGGAGGTAGGGAGGGAGTATCCATACTTATACCTTGCCCACAGACAAACTATTGGCAACTGGACAAGGGTGAGCATCCATGGATGACAGGATGGTGACCACACACTGGGGATGGCCCCGTTTTGAGCAACTTGATGAGCGGCGTACGCGCGTAGACGATAAAGTCAACAGCGGTATGTGATGCCTCCCAGATGATTAATAGATGACAGAGAAAGATAACTGAAATGTGGCAGGTAATCAAAAGAGCAAACAAGCAGGGGGTAGTTTGCCAAGCCCGTCTGGACTCTGATGGATATCAAGAGGGGATGCTGAAGAAGAAAGTTCTCAACATCCTCCTGGGGGGGATGAGACCATTTTATATCCCTCCCCCCTCTAGGATTCCCATCCTTGAACCATGTGTGTCAGGGGTGGGCACATTATTCCAGCCATGACACGTATCATGCTGCAGCTCTGGATATCCATTGGTGACCCTTGGAATAGTTACACAGAAGCTAAGCCATGTGTAACTTGATATCTTACGAGAACGCATCGTCTTAGGCCTATAAGGGTTGCCCACCAGTCACCCCTTGTTGCGGAATTCATATGAAAGAAGTTTAGGCAAAGCAATATGCGGACATGTTCCGGACTGCTGCTTTGGGAGATACCTGTTATATCAGAAACTGAGGGACTTGAGCTCTTCTGGCCTTCTTTGTGTCACCCAAGGCTGAGAGACACCAAGAAGGCGTAAGAAGGTACGAGGTAGTGCTCATTGCATCGTGTTGAGGTCATATACCCCCTGATAGTTGGTCATCTGGAGTTGAGAAGTTAAGTCATTCTTTTGGTTTCTATTGGTCAAGGTATCCCGGAGAGACCTCCGCCCACGGAGAGACCTCCGGCTCAGCAGAGTCCTTGCTGCAGGTTGTCTTTAGCCAAGACCAAGGACGGGAAGAAGTACTGCCGTTTTGCTACTAGCTTGGAGAGGTTGAATGTATGAAATGACTCGTGACTATCTGCTGCTTGAGGAAAGTGGGCTTTGACGTTGACGTCTATTTCTCTTATGGTAGAGACATGGCATTGATTGGCTCGAATACTGGCTTTTAGACAAATATAGTAACCCGTAAAGAGTGGCGATTTGTATGAAGATATGACTGGTCGAATGCAATCTTGTTAGTATTAGTGGTTATGCTTTAGTTAACCGTAGCTCTATTTTGGGACAAGTGCAGATTTATTTGTGTTGTTTACATCAAAAGCTGCAACAGACAATGAAACTTGTAAACAAGCAGATTGGTGATGAGAAATTTGGAGATTGAGGGCTGAAAATGCAAAAGGGTTATAGATTACTCATGATCTTGAATCCCGATATCCGGGTATTAACGGCTGACTAATCGAAGAGAGCGAAATAATCCACGGAACCAGTTACTCCCCTTTTACCCGCGTTGCCGCCATTTCTGTCTCCGCAATCTCGACTTTGACAAGCCGCCAGATGCAACAGCCATGTCTCACAATCTCATTGATATCGTTGCCGACGGCGACACGTTGATAATTCTTCCAGTTGGAGATAGTTCAGACACAGGGAGTTCCGTGTCTGACGTGGGAGCTGTGGTAGATGAAGAATCTGTAGTGGATGGCGAGAAAGATTGGGCAGATGTTGAGACTATCACGGACCCGAAGGTTATTGCAAATCAGGAAACTGGGACAACAGCAAATGAGTCTATCCGCGCTGCAAAGAGACTGAAGTTATCAGATGGATCCCATGCAGGTAAGTGTCAACAGCTTGGGTAACCTAGCTCGCGGGCACAGTAACCTCGAATACTAAAGCTCAATAGAGCCAGAGACTGGTACCACCGAAGCCAGTCAAGAAATATTTCAATTCAGGGTCTCAATGAGGCATCTGGTACTAGCCTCTCCGCGTGCAAAGGCTGTGTTACAAGGTCCCTTTAAGGAATCCACGCCGCATGAATCCGATGGCCTTCTTCACTGGCAGCTTACGCCTATATTTGACCCAATAGCTTTTGAGACGGTGATGCGAATAGTTCATGCACAGAACAAAAAGGTTCCTGAAGAGGTAACACTCGAACAGTTAGCGAATATTGCAGCCATTGTGGATGATTTGCAATGCCAAGAGTCGGTTGACTTCTTTGCCTCGTTGTGGGCGAAAAAGTTGGCAATCAAGCCACCAGAAGAGATAAACGTAGACTTGGCAAGGTGTATCTTGATAAGTACAGTGTTTGGGTTGAAAGGGCTATATGAAAGCTCGACATTGCAGGCGATCCTCAGCTCAACTGGTGCCATGCCGGTCTTTGGATTGCCCATTTCTCCCGACGCCTTAGGTGAGAATGTTCGATTACAGATTGCAATTGCGAGCTAACAAAGATACAAGATGCCATAGACAATGCACGCAAGGATTTGTTGAGAAGGAGGTTGAGACGATTGCTAACAATTGCCGAAAAGTATAAAAACCCCAGACTCTGTCTCTCATGCAGAGCTGGAAGCCTCGGGTTAATGCATGTCAACATGCATGCAAATAACCTTCCCATGGACTCTACGAAAGAGCTGACTAATGAATCTCTGAAGCAACTTGATATAAAGGTCAAATGTTTCGCCTATCCACAAGTGGATTACAGAGACTTGTGTAAAGCTTCACACAAGCAACACGGACTGCATCCCTCTTTGGAGGAGGATATCAATCACTTCATAAAGCATTTTTACACAAACATACCGAAATTAAAGCTTCGCTGAATATGCTGTCAAAACTTGAGATTCAGCAATCAGCAACCTTTATTAGTTCTGGCATGCAATGGAGCCAACAGTCGTGAGTGAAAGAAAGGCTGGCATTGGGATTGAGAAATGAATTAACTGTTTGGAAACCCAAATTCTCGAAATTGATGAAAATTCAACATTATTTAATGAGGTAGATATCGCGTACCTATAATTAGACCTAGTAATAAAGATAAATTGATCAACCGAACGTAAACTGCTATCTAACATCAGTTTCGTTGAGGCAATCGAGATTCAATGTCCCAAGCCGGCTATGTTATATCACGTAATCTACATTCAAAGGTAAATAGTGATGCTTGCAGATGCTACCTATACCTTATTAAGTAGAAGAATATAACGACAGCAGCTGATGCCACCGGATAGAAGAATCCGGTAGGTAACCGTTGTTTTCTCTCCATCTCGTTATAACTAGCCTTTACTGTATAGTCTCTGTATTGCTTAATGGTCAAGTTAAAGTCCACTACTAAATAAAGAATCACTCCCTTCTGTGATGACAGCGGTGATGTTTGGTATGATTGCTCCAATAGTAGCCCTGCCCGGAGATCTCTTATACAGCCTAGGCCGGGAACAAGCGGAGATTTAACGTCATTACTAGCGTCCAATACGAGTACAGGGGCAATGTTTGTAGCTTGACATTACGCTAAATTGGGAACAGTTGCAGTCCAACTGTCTGCCTTCAAAGAACAACCTTCAACGACAACGACTTCTGACAGAAAGACATCGGACGAAATGCCAAACAGCTGTCAAGACCGAAAATGCATGCGCAATGAGGATGACTAATCAGGACAGCACATCGACGAAGAAGATCTGCCTCAGGCAGCTAGCACAGGCCAACTTGTGAAGCGCAACTCCATGAAACTCATCACTCTGCATCTTCTCATCTTCTTTCTTCGAAGCCTGTTTTCTGGCAACACCGCCGAATGCAGCAACCATGGCTTCTCGCCACGTCGATATTGATCCAGATGGAGACACTTTGATCATTCTCCCCAGAGTCAAGGCCGAAGGCGACAGCGGGGCATCCCAAGTGACGTTCAAAGTGTCCATGAAGCATCTCACTTTAGCATCATCCCGTGCAAAAAAGGTGCTTCAGGGATGCTTCAGTGAGGCAACACCACAGGGGTCGGATGGGCTTCGCCACTGGAAGTTCGATCCCATGTTCGATCCCGACGCTTTTGAGATTGTTCTGCGCATCCTTCATGCACAAGCCCACGAGCTCCCGAAGGAAATCCCACTCGCCACGATGACACAGGTTGCCGTTATTGCTGATGACTTGCTATGCAGCAGCCCGATTGCACCTTTCGTTCCACAGTGGAGTTCAAATGACGACTTTTGGGCAGCATCAGTACAATTCAGTGCGACAATCGAGAAGATTTTCATATGTTTCGTATTTGGGCTGAAGGAGAAGTTCACTTCAATGACCCACAGAGCGATAATGAAGTCGATTGACCAGAAGAATGTTTACGACGTCCCTCTTTGTCCAACGATCCTCCGTAAGTACCAAAGTGTGTTGCACTACTAGCCATTGTGTTCAGTAACTAACAGATAGGGCAGAAGCTATAAAAGACCAACGAGCCTTCGTATTAAAGCAGCATTTAAAGTATCTATATATCGTGGAATGAGTTGGAAGACGATAAGCTTTGTTGGGAATGCAGAGCAGAGAACATTGGCTATCTCAAATACAACCTACATCTACACCAGCTCCCAGCATTAGAATCGTCAGAGCTGTGGGCTGATATTACATGCAATGAGCTGAAGGACAAGATGAAAAAGTTCAAATATGCGAAAAATCCCGGATGTGGCTCCTCTGGACCTGACCACCCTTCATTGAAGAAGCATATTTCGAGAGCCTTGAGGATATTTTCGTCTCCTGAGAAGGGACTAGATCTTGCTTCATTTCCGAAGACTTCACCTTAACAGGTATCAATCTTTATGCGGCAGATTGTGATACAACACTACTGGGAAACAAGGACGAGAAATCAAGGACAGGAAAACAAGGGCTGGGAAACAAGGGCTGGGAAACAAGAGAAATCTTTCGCTAGAATAACAATAGTCCAATCAACTAAGCGTCGTCATTTGCAACATTTGACAAGCGTGCCATTGCGCAACCTCGTGATCCAAAGCTATGCTTTCAAGCATGCAGAATAAAGTTCATAAATAAAAGTCTAAGCTAAGAAAGGTAGATCTATGCCATCTCCTACACTACAAATAATACAGTCTGAATACCTGTACATACCAAAACAGCAGATGTAAATTCCGTCTCCTGTCTCGCACTTAGACACTTTCGCCTCTACCTCACAAGCTCATCCAATCCACGAGGTCTGCGCCAGCCACAAAGTTCTGTTATTCCACGTCGGGTCAGAGATAGTGACCGAGGAATTAATGTTGAGACTGACCGTCGTCGCCTGCTTTCCGTAGCGAGGAAACGCGAATCCCAACGGCCCCGCGTCAGGCTCTCCGCCCTTTGCGAATCCAGCAATAGCGTGCTGCATAATGCTAGCGACATGAAGATCTACACCTGCAGCGCCGTCATAGAATGTATATGCAATGTCGCTTCCATGGATAGCCGGCGGCACTGAAAATTCCCATGCATGCACTTCTGTTCCACGATGGATAGTAGCTTGAAGCAGGGCTTGATGGGCAGCAGCAAAATACATCTCATTCGCCATCAAGATGTTTCGGTCAACACTAGTTTCGTATGGATGAGAGCCATCGTAAACGGCCGGATAGAGAGTGTTGAGCACATAGTTGAGGTCTTTTTCTCCCATCAGCGGATAAATAGCTTGAAGTCTGTTTGCCAATGCCGTTTCATTTCCAATAGTCCGAGGATCAGTGAATAATGTACCCTCGAAGCTCGTATGAGAGGACAATAATGGAATGCCCTTGGCGAATGCACCTTCAAGCAGCAACTTGGCAGGTGGACCAGGAATATAGACATTGTCAACAGAAGGGCTAAAGGCAAACTCATTATACGGCTCAGCTCCAATCTGGCGGACATTGGCAGCGATGAGGGCACTCGAAGGCAGTCGTCTGGCTTCTTCCAACGACTTGACATTGAGGATTTTGAGAAATTTTTGAAAGCTACTCTCCTGCTGCGCAGAGTCAATCAAGACGGTCAGCGGTATGGATTGTACAATCGCTCTCTTGAATGGAACGGGTTGTTTGCCCCCCTGAGCAAGGAGATGGAACATGATGGATCCTGCGCCGGCTGATTCGCCCATGACGGTGACATTATCAGGGTCTCCGCCAAATTTGGCAATATTCTCCTGTACCCATTGCAGAGCTAGGCGTTGATCGTACAATGCTGCGTTGGCTGTGCCGTCTTTCTGCATGGTGGGTCCGGCAAGGAAGCCAAACGCGCCGAGGCGGTAGTTCATGGCGACCCAGATAATTCCATAACTTCCATCTTCTTGAGAAGCAGAGATGATGCGATTGGGAGTACCCCAAGACTCTTTTGTTCCGCTCACGTATCCACCTCCCTGTTCATCTCGTTAGCTGAGGCTGAGAAACGATGAGATATCAGATTTACTTACATAGATCCATACTAACACTGGAGCCTTTTTACCATGGGACTTCTTTTTATCCAAGACAGCTTTGGGAACAATCACATCCAAGACCAAACAGTCTTCTGTAGTTCGCGGATCTGTAGTCTGCGGAGTACTGTTGGCGATTTTCTCAGCCTCGGTGTAGTTTAACGGAAGCTGGTTCGTTGCCCATGCCGTTGCAAACTGTATCGCGGTGATTGTCCAGTTGGGAGATTGTTGAGGGCAGATTTTGCCAATGCTGCCATCCTGTATGGTCTTTTTGACGCCTTTGGGTGGGATAGGAGCTCTCCAGCGTAGATTTCCTACAGGAGGCTCTGCATAGGGGATGTTCGTGAAGTTGTAGGCCTTGATTGTGTCCTAGAGATTTTGTTAGCCTGAGGAGTGACTGGATGTGCGACAGTGACCGACATTGTATGATATAGCCCGATGGACTTGGTATCCCAAATCAACAGTTGGCAGAGATGGATGGCTCGTGGCATGAGCTCCCAACGCAAGGGTGGAAAGTAGAAGAATATCGAATCTGTGCATCTTGAAGCGTCTTCCGAATCTGATTCTCATGAGAAGACTTTAGGCATATGAAAAGCAAGTTATTGTGGCATTTATATATGTAAAGAATCTACTTATATTATTAAACGAACAGATCACAGTCGTCGTCTTCGATGACTGAATATTTCCTATAACGGCAGTACATTACCAACGATCATCTCCGTTTCATAGTTGGGTATTTCCAGATCTGGCAATACATGTTCAGGGGTACAGCGAATCATTGCATGGGTAGATCTCCGATGGGCAGCCATACATGGGAGAATATTGACAAGCATATTGAATACTAATGAGGAGCCAAGTTTCACTATTTTCCGGCCCCCGGCTGTCGATGGGTCCTTCTTAGCGTGACAGGTAGTTAATCCTCGGTATGCCACTATTAAGACGACTACAGGCATCACAAATGTTCTACGGCACTTCATTACGGGACAAGGATGAGGCTATTTAAGTCTGGGGCAGTGTTGAATCAGGCCATTTCAGGTAAAACAGAGGTTCGTGGACGAATGTAATGCTTCGATTGCATTGGTTAGACTGGACCCCCGACGGTGTCGGTCTTTTCGAAAAGCCCGACAGTTCATCTGTTATATAATAGTGTTAAGTGCAACGAATGATATTGAAAACGGTTAAGTATCGACACAATGTAGTCTTCTAGTATAATTTTCAAGGGGAAAATGTAGGGTTTCGTGGTCGTGATGACGACGCAATTGCCTTACTCTAGCTTGCACATTTGTCAGCAATGCCTCGGATTGGCTTTCTATCAGTAAGTATAACAGTATAGTAAATCTGTACGGGTGGTATTATTCTGATTAATCGATTAAAGACAAAAATAGGAGAGTGGGGGAAGTGTCTTGCTCATTTGTCCATCTTTTAGATAAGTCCTTCAGTCCTTACCTCTTTTTAGATACACATATTATCGGGATATGAACAGTATCTCGTCACTATGGATTTCTGTATTACAAGGCCAGTATGTTAAAAGTCTATTCTCTCCTAATCTCATACCCATTTGAAACAGAAATCACAAATTCAGCCAAGCCAAACGCTATCCACGAATCAAGTACCTCGCAAGAAATGACCTCCCCCAAAGTAACACTACCTTTCAACTCAAATCCTCCATCAACAAGACATCTCCAATGAAATAAACAAGTCATCCAGCAGTGTAAGCGCAACATTAAACGCACGCACCCAACATGGCCACAACCTCAGTCACAACTCAATAAACGCTCCACCACCACCATCGTCAAAGTGACACAGCCCGTCTAATGATCCAACCAATATCTCCCCTCGGCTACATACATGCCCCCCCATCAAACAAATCACCGATGCAATACCATTCCGATGCATCTACCCGGACACAAACATGAGCCTGTGTCATCCCACCCATTCCCACCATGGCCCTCCGATCATTCACCGCCGAAGCGAGATCAAAGTACACAAAAGCCCACCACAGCAGTAAAAGCCACAGCGGGAGGGACAGGTAGACCGGCTTCAGCCCCCGAGTTCCCTAGTTGGTGTGGACAGCAGAATGCACTGCTGGCGTCATGTAGCAGAATATCACATACGTCGAGCATTGACAGGCTCGAGAGGTGCATGCATACGAGGTGTCTCGATGTTGATAGCTGTCATGTCCCTCTTTTCTGACTCATACACGGGATAGTCACCCGATTTCCCCGTCGCTGGGAAAGTCGAGCACGACTGATTCATCTTACGACATATGTGTGCGTTGTTTCCTTTGTGTTTGACGCCTGGCTTACACGGAGTCCAACATCAGTTGATGCTGTCTCAAAGTACGAGTATACATCGCCGCCTTAGTAGTATGCTTGATGTCTACAATCCACAACACCAAATCACCCCACCTCTTTAGTTAAAAAAGAAGAATAAGAAGAAAAACTAGAAGAATGTCAAGGCCTAGTCAACTATACTAGAACACTCATACAACAAGCCCAACCAAAATGTCACCGCCACGTGGCCAGCCTCCAGAGGCACCTCCCCGTCTGCGCACCAGCAAATCAACCTCCAGCGACTTAACATTCACGTACCCGTTGAAGAAGAAGAAAAATATATTAAAAATAACTCAGTAACAGGAGACTAGAAAAGATAGAAAAGATCCTTCACGGGAGATGGCATACGTCGCAAATATAAAAGAAGGCGAGTATAGACGAAACGGCGCTTCGGCGGACGCCCGCTCCCGACGCCGTGCGACTGGCTCGCTAAAAAAACGTGGGATTTTCTATGCTGCATGGAGATGGATATCCAACGTCCTCTTTTGGTTGCTGGAATGGGCGGATGTTGCATTGCGCGGAGCGTACATGTAAAGACCGGGCTTTGTCCTATTCACATATTAAAAATTGAACAAGGTAGCAGGAAGCAGCATTGCATTAGATTATACAGATTACAACATACAGATACGGGGCACGTTTCATCACGACAACAAAACTAAACCACCCTCTCTATCTATCTACATGTATTCATCGACGCCGAGAAATCCCCATTAAATAATCCCTTGCATCTTTCATATCAAATGCTCCTCCCAGGTATCTGTACATACATACACAACCCACTGGGCACAAAGCGGACCCCCGTCTGCGGCCTCGGATACGAATTCTGCGATAATCCCAGGCTCTTGGGCACGACTTTGCCACTTGGGTACAGCGAAAATCGCCCTTGTCATTGTCATGATACCCAAAACCCAAGGCAGCTGAAAAAGAAGAAGAAAAATATGGAGTAGCAGCAACACAAAATAAATAAAACTAGGTAACAATTCTCACCCACGTATGTACAATGTCCCCATCTACCTTCTTTTTAGGAAAATCCAGCGCCAGCATCCCCATATAAAAAATTGCTGGCAGCTTCGGTCTTGTTTCCCCGCAAAAACATGAATCTCACCGTCCCATCACTCCATCCCAAGGACTCCATCACCTCGCCGTAAACGCCACATTACTGGGAGACACATACATACATACATACATACATACCTACCTACCTACATACATGCGTACATGCGTAGCAAATGATAGTAATAACGTGCGTATTCGTACATACATATTCTCTTACTTACATACCGCATCGCCCAAGCCCACGGACCCGTACATTGGATCCCGCCTGCACCACGCAAGTAAGCAAAGCACCGCACCGAGAGAGAGAGAGCATCCACGCTTATCCGCTCATCCGCAGTCTACCTTTAATAACCGGGCAAAGAAAAGAGGACATTCCTATTTCCCATCATAAAGATAGACAATCAAGATAGTAGTGGACATCAATTCCAACTCAAGCAACGTATAATCGTAGATACCACGTAGCTATACAAACTCCCTAAAAAAACCCTCATAGCTTAGTAGTGCTCTCGCTCATACAACGTCTCCAACTCTCCTCCAACCTGCCTATGCTGTCACTCGCGTGCTACCACAGCGATACGATACGATACCGATTCCCCCATGCTACTGTACAGCACAAAAGAAACCCCAATGCAACAAAGCTCCCACGAACCCCAAAAACAGCTCTCGCGTCATACCCACCACCCGCAAAAACCCACACCCACACGCCAATGTAGCATCGCGCACGTCACAATCAAGTCAAGCACTGCAAAACGAAAACGAAGAAAAGATTGATTGACAGAAAAAAGCTCTCTGTTTGAATTTATTTCGTTTTTGTACACGATGTAAAAAAATCCTATCGCTCGCTTATCCCAATGCATCTCCTCTTTTTATCCTTGCTTCCCCCCTCCTCCTCCTTCTATCATTAGGTCTCTTTCTCTCTCTTTTCGGGCCATTCCATTCGCATACTTTCAATGACATCTTGTTGATGCATCATTCCAACTCTTTTCGTCTCCTTAGTGGCCATTCAATCCAACAGCCCCAGCTAATCAGAGCTGGTCTGACGTACGGCGCAGTAGCCATATGACTAACTAGAGAAAACTGCTGTCCCGAAACCGGGAAAGCTGCAAAGGGAAAAAAAAAATAACTCCAAGGGTGCTATGCATGTCCCATTTCCCCGCCCCAGAATTCGGGGCGTAGTGTGTGTGTGTGTGTGGTGGTTGTAATTTTTTAGTGTAAGTTGTAGCGCAGTGTATATGGCAGGTGTGCGTGGTCGTGTCGTGTCGTGTCTAAGAAGAATAACAAAAATTATGCACGCTTTTTTCTCCCAAATCATGATCAAACGCCGACCCCCGCTTATCTACAGGTGGGTGTGTGGTCTATGTAACATGATGAAAAGAGCATGTAGAGAAAACAAGGGCGCGAGACGGGTGGCTCCATGCTGAGGTTTCCTCGCTCGCCGGTCCAGGGTTTTGTTGTCGCTGCTGGACAGCTTGTGCTGGACAGGAAAAGCTGCGAGACATGAAGCATCTCGTGGTGGTGTGTGGATAGTGTCGGAAGGAGTGACTAGAGTCGGGTATCATTTCGTTCATATTAAGTAATAAGGCGTTAAGCAGAAAAAAAAGTGTTTCGCGTGAGACAATGTTCATGGTTGTTTGCCGGCGCTGCAATGTTCTATGGTGGTTGGTCGTCAAGTCGTGGGTCAATCAATATAGCAAAGTCGTTCTGTTGGAAAATGCGGTGAGATCCAAACAGATGGTAAGAAATCGAAAAAAAAAAAAAAAAAAAAAAAGTGAAACAAAATCAGAGGCGTAGCTTTTCCGCAAGGTTCTTCCAGAATCGCGGTGTCTTCTCCTCGCTTCGGGCTCGCACCATGTAGGCATCCCGCTGCATGGGCCCGACAATGTCTTCGTCACCGCGGCCAGGGAACTTGCCCTCGGCGTCCAGGGCCTCCAGCATCTGCGGGACGGCGCTGGGCAAACAGCCCCTCCTGCCCCGCCACTGCATGGCCGCGTAGATGTCGTCGTGGCGGTTCTGGCTCTGGGCCTTGCTGGACGGGTTGGCGCTCTCGGAACGGCCACGTCCGCGGCCTCGGCTGCGGCTGCGAGACATGACTGAGGCCGTGGTCATTGGCTGGGTACGGCGCACAATGTCTGTGTAGAAACCCTTCCACTTGCGCTCAATCTCGGCCCACTTGGCCTCCGTCATGCCGTACGTCTTGCTCGTCTGGCCGTAGTGCTCGCCGGTGCGGACCAGGTGCTTGGTGTAAGCGACCCGTGCGGCGTCCCAGTCGTCGCAGAACTTGGTGACAGATTCAGCTGTAAGCTCGTCAACACCGTAAGGCATGGGCGTGATGGTGAAGTTGGCGTGGCCCAGGCGGTCGGACCACTCGTCCTGGTCTTGCAGGATGGACGGCGGCAGGGGCAGTGGAAGCTCCGTCATGACCGAGACGTGGCGGAGAGACGACATGGACGGCTTGGAGCCGAGAGACTGCCGGGGAGTCGGGACAACGCGAGGGGAGTGGACCTCCGTGGCGGCCGACGACGGCGCAATGCTGGGCGACTGGAGGGGAGAGGGCTGCGGAGGCTTTCCGAGAGGGTCGGTCATGAGCGGAGGCAGCAAGGGGGTCGTGGCCATGGCCCTGTCGCGCTCGATGCCTGACCGCTCCTCGCGGCTGAACTCGCCCGAGTGCATGTCCAGGCTGTCGGTGCTTTCGTACGTCTCGTAGAATGGCATGGCCGGCGGGGGCATGGGCGAGTCGTCCAGCAGCACGGGGAACTGGCGAGTGGGAGAAGACATGGAGGAGGACCGGCTGGACGCGGCTCCAGATAAGACGTTTTCCATGCTCCGCTCAGTGGTGGGCGAGGTCATGAGGCCCGTGATGCTGTTTGCCTTTCGCTGAGACTTCCATCGCGCAATGCTGGGGAAGCGGTTGCCGAGTCGAGAGGTGATGGCAGTAAAGGTCGATTCGCCGCTCATGATACGCTTCTTCTTGGGGTACTGGGAATCGCCGGAGAAGTCGCTGTCGCTGAGAAAGCCAAGATCGTAGTCGATGTCGAGCTCGCCCGCCATCTCGCCGTGCAGAAGCTCCTGGGAGGTATTGGTGTGTTCGCATGCCTGGTCGCCTACATGACGGGGGAAACAGATTGGGTTAGCCATGGAAGCCCATCAGGATAGGCTTGAGAGCACCACTTACATAGACAGTACATGCCAAGGTTGTCGCTCAAGTCGTCGTCGGATTCCTCCTCTTCCTCCAGCTCCTCCTCTCGTTCCAAAGGCTCTTCCTGGACATCAGGCAGCTGGCGGATGCTGGATTTAGAGGCCGTGGCATGCTGGGCCACGGGTGAAGCAGGCCCCTCTTGCGGGGTGATCTGCGGCAACTCGAGAGAGGAGGTTGAGCTGGAGTAGCGCAGGGGAACGCCTCGATTGGAAAAGGTAGGAGTCAGGGGCGAGGCAACGTCGGAGGACGAGGAATTCGTAGTATAGTAGACGTATGAAAGGTCACATGCTTCCAGAGAGACGCCCTCGTCCATGGCGCCGCTCTTGCGATCCTGAGCCAACTGCGGCAGCAGCAGGTCTCTAATCTGGGGCGACATGCCTCCCTCCCACAGCGGCGAGGTCGAGGTCGGTGTCGGTGTTCGAAGTTGAAGTTGATATTGGATATCGAGGCAGCAACAGTAGCGGGCGGGTAAGACGGGGGGTAATCAAGGTCTGGTAAGATAGATGGACGGGTTGCTTTGTTTGTAAGCTGGTCTTGCGCGAGTACGGAGCACCGGGGCGTCAAGTGAAGTCTCGTCAGCTGCGTGTTCGGGGGGTGTAGCAAGAGTCGACGTCGAGGACAAAGAAATTGAAGGCAGAAACACAATGGCTCTATCGCGGTCGACACGGTCTATGTAGGATATCGAGGTCTTGAGGGGAGGGAACGAAAGGAAGCGGGAACAAGCACGTAGAAAAGAGTCAAAGACGAAGTGGAGCCGACGATTTTGCCTGTGTGTGTGTGGCAGCAAGGCTAAAAGGTGCTCCGGACGTGTGGTAGCAGCAAGTTGAAGTTACAGCGAGTGGCCTCTGCTAAGGCTAGCAGGGGGGACCCCACCAGCAGGGATTAGGTCGGCATCAGAAGCTACGAGTACAAAAGATACAACGATACAGAGCCCATTTTAGCGCGAGAGTACAACGGTACAAAGATACAAAGATACATGGTGACAAAGGCCGACATGGGGGACAGACCCATTGAGAGAGAGCACAGGACACAGGACAGGACTCTCTGCTGGTTAGGCGACATTAGCGTGGGTGGGTAGCACTTGGACTGCACTGGCCTTGGACTGAGTCGAATGGATTGAATTGGGTCCCAACGGTACGTACCCAAAAACAGCCCCGTATGGGTCTCTGTCTTCTGCCCTGCACTGCACCGGCACCGCCAGTCCAGTGGCTTAGGTTTGCTCTGATTCTTTTGGCTTCCAGCGTCCAGTCTCTCGCTCTCGTCTCCCAGCTCCTCCGGCAGCGGGCCTTGGCTGGGCTTGCTGGGCTGCTCAGGCGCTAGAAAGCAGTGGCGTGTCTGCGCTTTTGCCTGCGGCCGAGGCCAGGGTGAAGGGCCTCAACTGAACTGGCAAACAATGGCTGGGCTGGGTTGGGATGGACTGGGCTCTGCTGTTGTCCTTGATCTGTGCTGGGCTTGCAAGCTGAGTACTTGGACGGGGACAAAGGCCTATATCCGATGTCCATACAATACAATACAGAGTACCTAGAATATGTAGAGAGTTCCGTGCCCGTACACAATATTGATACAATACGCATTACCGTTATGCACCATAGCAGCATCAGCCAGCCTCTTCTTCCCCCCTCTACTCTACTCTTCCTGCAAGCACATGCCGCCAGTCAACGCATCTTCTCTCTGCCTGGCACCTCCCGCGGCGCTGCTACCGGCGGTCTGCACAAAGTACCACGGACCCGGAAGCACTGCCAGCGCAGCCGTGGCGGGGCTGTACCGGATACCCCATCGCCATGTTTCGCACATGCGGGCCGGCCATGGCAGCCCAGCCCAGGCTGTATCGGTCAAGTCAGCCAGCCATTGATTTTTTCTCAGTGTCAGCGGTCTCCTCGCGCTGCCTGCTAGTGGGCGGCAAAAGAAGAGAAAAACTTCGCTGGGATCAAATGCATGCTCTACGCAATCAGCGGCGTAGCTTAGAGACCGGAGTTAGTAAGCAGCGAGAGGAGGGAGAAAACAACCTTGAATCCATAGTTGAGCGGCAAAAAAAAAAAAATTCACTGAGGGCGCTAGAAGCCGAAGACGCACGAGACCTCGGCCAAGCTGCTAAGAAAAGAAACATTCGCCCCGGAGCGCTGAAGATGATCGGCCTTAAGCGCCCACCTACAAACAGACGATGGCAAGACAAACTGCATACATAGAGGAAGAAGAGGCCAGGAGCCCAACAGTGGCGTGTTTGCTTGCTGTTTGTTTATCGATGTGTTTGCTGTCGATATGCGCGCGCGTGTGGGTGATGCTCAGATGAATACCTAGTAATGCCAGGTCGATGGAGTACATGCATTCAGATGTCTACAAGCACCGTAGGTACATGTACCCAGCCGCCTTCGGGGCGTCCAGTGACAGGTGCAGCGCTGAAGCCACTGGCTCTCTAGCGAGCAGCAAGTTCTGCGCCGCCACCATCCAGATGAGGCATCACATCTAGCTGTCAATCAGCTTGGCTGCTCAGTATCTACACTAAGCTACTGCATCTTGATGCTCCTCGTATACTAGTTTGATTGATTAAATCTTGATTTCCAAATGTCAACTGAAATCAATTGATCCCTCTCGACCCCAAAAACAACCATCTACTACGTCACGTAACCAGCTGTAGAGGTCATCCGTTGAATCATCCATACATCCATACATGCTCCATGCCCTTCTTCTCCTCACTTCTGCCCGCCATCATCATCCATCACCGCTCTTCCTCTCCGTCATCCCACAGCATCCACCAAAGCAGCAAGCGCAAGCACAAGCATAATCCAACAAAAATACAGCACAGCCGGGGAACATCCCGTCCACGTGTTGCCGCGCTCACATTGGGCGCCTGGAAACCCGGTGTGATGAGCTCTGCTCTGTGGCCTCTGGATGCAGATGCAGCTGCAGCTTCTCAAGCACGCATGCAGCCCGTCCAGCCGCCTCTTCGTCTCCCCGCCCGCTTCTCATACCCGGTCATGGTCATGGTGATGGAATAGAATAGGCGCCTTTTTTTGCTTTCGCTCTACTCCCAACTCGTCAGCGAGATCCAGATTTCGCATCTGCGCCAGCGGTTCTCTGCGCTTTGCGGTGGCTGCCAACCCCCGTCCCCCGTCTGGAGTCTGGCTCCAATCGACCCCCCCTTTGGCCGGCCTCGCTCACGACCGTCTTCCCTCTCCAATTGTCCCTCTGGTGCCCCTCCAAAGGCCGAGGCTGGGGCGCGCCAGCAGGGCACTGCCAGAACCCATCCAGTCAACAAAGTCGCGGCCAAGTCAGCGGCAAGAGGGTCGATCTGGGGGCGGTTGGGAAGCGAGACGCCAGCACTGACTGACACCAGCATCATCAGACAAGACCCGGCAAAAGAGACAAGTGACCATGCTGAGGTGGGCTTAGGCTTGGGCTGGCACAGAGTTCAAAGTCCTAGGCCTACACGTGAGGGCCAGAAATGGTCAGAGGGCCATTCTGACGTGGTGCGAATGCAACGAAAAGGCGTTTTGCTGGCGATCCCTGCCACTGCCAATCCCTCTCGCCGAGGCATCGCACATCACGGCGAGCATCTACCCAATCGAAACGGCCACACCATTCATTCACTGCCGGCCACTCGATTCTTCTTCTATTTTTGATTTGCTAAAAATTGTCATTGTCTCATCTACGAGTTACACCCTGTTATGCTACAGCGCTTGCAAAGTACATCTACCCGCCTGCAAGTGCTCGGATGCAAGTACACAAGAGCAAGGCATGCATCGCTCACATTGACCAATGTCACACACATGGCGCCAACCTCGCAAACCAGAGACGCAGAATACCTACTCGTGTACACCGCGACCCCCCATCGCCCACCGCCTTGTGCAAAGCAAAGCAAATATGGGACAAGGAGGCGGCCGTGGCGACGGCTGCGGCCGAGTCAAGCAAAGCAGTCATCCAGAGCAAGCAGAATCTTGAGCCCCGGGGAAATCGGGGGGGACGAATTTCGGGGACAGCAGCGGGAGGCTCCTCCGCCTCGCCTCGAACTCACTGGGCGCTGGGGCCAAACAAGTGGCATGGACATAACCTGGCTTTAACATGGGCCTGGCCCTGTGCCGGCATCGCTCGCTCTTCAGGTGACAACAACTACGCCAGCCAGGCTCTTGTCTCGTTTCCCACATGCGGGCTTGCTTACCCATCGTCTCAATCTCGTACATGATGCTCTCCAACAGCATCAACGTGGTTTCTCCAGAGCGAAAAGGGCGGCGGCGGTGACATCCAGAGGATCCGTACAAACGCCATCAAGCTTCTTGTTCCAGCATTAGCACAAACAACATCTCAGTGTGTTCGCAGCCCTATGCCGAATCAAGGCCTAGCGCCACGCTCTGGATGCGAAGAGCCTCTTACCCGGATGCACCTTTGCCAGACCGGTGTGTTTTTGCAAAGTACTCGAGCAAGTATCCCGCCATTTGGTACGGTACTTTGACCCCCTGGTTTAGCTTGAGAAGAAGGATAGAAAAAGCAAAGAGCTTGAAAAGAAGAAATCAAAGAGCGGGTTTGCATGGGTCTTTGAGCTGGATCCGCCGCCCAGTGCCAACGCAATCGGGCCCTCTGTCTAGGCCCAATCCTTTAGACTCTGGCATCCAAGCAAAATCGGAAGACTCGAAACAGGGGAGGGTGGGAAGTGAGGGGCTCACGACCTGATCACGGCTCAACCCGAGCAGGGCTCCATGGTGGTTGAAAGTTTTTTTTCCTAATGCTTTCCTCGCTTGCCTTTGGGGGGGATAAGTTTGGCAACTTCTTCAGCCTCCTTTATTCTCAACCCTGCACAAGCCGGCTGCGCCGACTTGAATTTTTTCTTCGCCTCCCCTATGCACAGCTGTTTCAGATCAGCCTAGGGTCGGCAGTTCGTCTGGTGGTTTTCCGGGGGTTGACCAGACAAGACGATATAGCAGTTCCCTTAACAGCCAACGTTGCATTTCACAGAGCCAGAAAAAGGAGTCGCGAAAAAGGATCATGTCATTGTCAGACGAGTGATTGGTATGCTACTAACAATAGGAGTTTTCTGACTCTTGGACGCAGAGCAGCCAACGCCATTGAGTCGGGAGAAACCGCTCCGTCTCTCAGGATTGTGCCATGATGACCGACAGGACTGAGATTGAATGCACGAAATCAAATGCTCCGCCTGTACACGCGTATTCTGTGCAGGTCATCGTGTCTTTTCTTACCTGGCATCTCATTACTGATATCCCACTTGAACTCTATATCATATCTCTCTCCCCGTAGCGTCCCAGACCTTGCCTTGTCACGATGATCCAGCCAGAGATGGTTAGTCAGCGCATCCCCCGGCACTGGGAACAGGAGGCCATCTCCGGAGCGCGAATCCTTGCATCCTTGGGGCTTGGCTACCAACGGCTTGCTTGCCAGGCCCAGGTTCATTCATTCTTCCTAGGCTCGACCACACTGGCGGGTTCCGAAATGGATGGTGGATGGCACAATTGTATCACCTTGGCACGCTATTCGACTCGAGAGGTCTGGATGAACTGAAGCCACTCGGGGGATTGCATTTAGCCATTGGGCGATTGCAGATGCTGTTGGCAGAGCCCATGTTCTTTTTCTGCCAATTTTTTCAAGTTGCAATGTGCCACTTCGATTGCAGCTTTGATGCGTTTTGCTCGGCGCACAACCCTCATCAACCTTGTACACCGGCTGCACGAAATATCAAGGTTTCCAATCGGCGATATTGCTTTGCTTGTGCGAGTCCAAATACCAAATTCATGTAACTACGACTCCAGTCCGGCCGGATTCGGACACCACTGCGAACGACGATACAAATCCTCGCCACCGCAAACACGGGTAACCTTTCACATGCTTTCAGGGTAAACCCATCCTATCTCGTTGCACAGCCTACCCGCGAGGGGAAATCCCCAGGTTTAAGCGCCATCACGTCCCATCAAGCACTTGCACTTGCACAGCGTCCAGTGGTTGCATTTCTCGTACAACACTCGACTACTTAACTCATGATGGCCCCAAAAAGGGAATCTGAACAAAAAACGTCGGTTGAACAAGTGATACGCCTCTCTGTCATCGGGCCCCACTGAGGCGGTTGACTTGGGCCCTTTGAATGCGTCTAGCGCCCTCGATGTCAAAAGATTGTTGGTTGTCTAGCCCTCGGAGCCACGTTTTTGGCAGTCTCCACGCACGCGACCTGGGCTAAAGAAGAAACTTGTATCTTTTTTGCATTGGCCTGCGCCGTGCGCCTTTTCGATCTTGTTGTTGGTGCCTGAACTCTTGGAGTTTAGTTTACTTTTGTTCAGACGACTACAGCCACAACGAGAAGTCAGTTCCGGGGCACAGCATGCTCGGCTTCTTCACTCCGTTTAACCGCTTGGTCAAAATCCTAGTTTCTTTCTTGCATATGTACGAGTAGGGTAGTGGTGAGATGGTCTGGACTTTTTGATAACGCCATTGCAAGTGGCGGGAATTCATGGACGGCGTTTGATGGGGATTTGCTCGGATGGACGGGGGACTTCTGACCAGTCTAGAATCCACAGTTTTGCCTGTGGTGCGAAAGCACTACGAGTGGTCTTAGCAGCATCTTGCAATGATTACTAACATTGCAGTGGCGTGGACTTCGTTCAAAGGTCAGTCTAGATCTTGGATAGACCGTCCGTTGCCTGGCGTGCTGGAGACGAGGTTGACGAGTTGGTGCGTGGACAACCGATTGGTCGTCTATACGACTCCATGTACTCTTTGGGGTGCCATTGGGTTGCTAGAACGGGTTAACTTGCTACATCCACATTCTGCAGACATCGTCTGAAAGATGCAGCTCGGGGTTTGTCGTCTGAATGACAGGCTGCTCTTCCCACAAGAGCCGTCTGTATGCTTATCTTGCCCTGGACCGAGGGGGCTTTTTCTGCTCATCCGGGATGAACAGCTGCAGCTCTAGCCGAAAGCACATGCCGGCTCTTGTCCTACCCTCCCTCTTGGCAAGGGCTGTGTTGCCCTCTTCTGCATTTGTCGGTACCACTCGCTGCGCTTTTCACTCACACCCCGAGGGACGAAAGTGCTGTGTCATTCCGGTCCGAGCCGTCATGCTGTGGTTTCTTGACCCCAACCGTGTAACACTCGGTCAAACGAAGCAATAATTCTCCCTCTACGAGAAATATGTACCTGGCAGTACGAGTACGTCTTTCTACATACCAAGAAAAGTGTGGGAGCACCCAAAAGCACGTAGTTGGCGGGGATTTGCTATCCATTCCCAAACCATGAATTCAAAAGCTGTCGTCCAAAAAGCCCACGATACCGAATGGGTCAAGTGGAGGTGCGGGCAGGGCTGCCATGTGGTTGGCCAATTCCAGCCCGACGGCACTACACAAAAATGCACCCCTGCAGCTTTTCTCACGATCAGATGCGCAAACCCTGTGCCTGGCAGTAGTCGAACTCTCTTTTTTTTTTTTGGTCTCGGAGTGGCTAGGAACATGTTGCCGGTGGAAGAGTTTGTTAGCTACCTATATGGCTAAGATTCACTTGCAAGGAAGACTTCTTTTGGCCTATACGGAGGTCCTCTGCTTGGGTCAATTGACTTTGCTGGATGAGTTACGTTCAAGTTTTGACGGCGGGGTGACATTGCTTGCAACTACTGGATTTTCTCAAATCAGTTTCCACGAGCTGCGAAGGTCGAAGCACAACGATGTAGTAACACGGACTATCGTGCGGCCGCCGGTCATCGGAAGCATCGGGGAGTACATACCGTCGTAACAAGCACTCATGCTTGCGGAACGAGAGGAATTGAATGGCAACACCAAGGTTTCCTGCAGTGAAACCCATGTACATGTAATGTGATATCGAAGTCACTTCTTGCAGCTTCAGGCCCTTTGACACATGAAAGAATCTGCTCATTCGAACGGGAGAGCAACAAAAAGAAGAAGAAGAAAAAAACTCTGCAAGAATATGGCCGTTGATTGGCGGCAACGGGGCCAGCATGGATAAAAATCCTTCTCAGAAAAGTGTCCTGCCCAAAGAACTCCACTTGAAGGCCAAAGAAATCCTGCCTGTACCTTTTTTTTCAGAGCAACATGTACTGTGCTGGTGCTGGGTCGCACGACAGCCAGCTGTGGCTTTCTTCGGGCAGCTTTGGGGGCCAGCTACTGCTGCAACTCTGGGCAAGGATCTTGATGTGATGGTGGGAGGGCGTTGGCCTAACGGGTGTTTTTACGAGTACACAGAAGGGAAAAGATATTGAAGGCATGTGCCAGTCATGCAAGGCGCATTTCAGCTGGCCAATTGGCATGAAGGCGAGTGAAGCCGGTTCCTGAGAAAGCGTCCTTTCAGCTCCGAGCATACCGTGGGCTATGTTCGCCCTGAGGAGAAGGAAAGATTATAAATGATCTGTCAGTCAAGATCAAAACTAGCATCTTTAGCAGGGAAATAACAAGCTTCAAGAAAAAGCTCGTATCGATCAAGCCAAGCTTCTCCCCGGAGACTATCCGGCAAAGGCTGTGAGGGGTAGCTTTCAAAATTTAACGATTGCTGACGACGACGGACGACGCTTCATGCAAGCCTCATGAGCGAGGAGGGGGGAGGTTGTTGCTAAGGCCCCAAAGTTCCGCCGTATGGAGGCGCGGCATTTTCACCAAACTTGCCTGCGTACCTTGCATTAGATCGGGCTATGGGCTATGGGGGGAGGGCTGGGCAGGCGTGCGATTTGCCAGGGCCAGCCGGCTGGCTACGAGTACAGGCAACGGCCCTTGTCAAGCCCATTGAGTTTGCATGGCCTTTCCCGAGCCCAACAAAAAGCTTGGAGTGCTAATATACTGGGCTGATCTGACTGCTTTTTGCCCTGGCTACTTACTGTAAATATCCATGATCCCGAGGGAGGGGGGTTAAGTAACTGGGGGTAGAATAGCGAGAAGGAGGGGTAGACGGATGGATTTGACGATGAGACAAGACGATGAAGTCTTACGAAAAGAGGGCACACTAGATTGGAATCGGGGCAAAAAGATTACCGAGAAGTTATTGAGAGAGAGGGTGGAAGAGGAAAACGGGGAAAATGCAAAAAAGAAAAAGAAAAAAAGAAACCGACACCTGCAGGATTCGAACCTGCGCGTGCGAACACAATGCCTATGATACCTGTTGATAGCAGGGCATCGCCTTAACCACTCGGCCAAAGTGTCTACGGTTGAAAAGTATGCATACTATGTCTTATCATAAGGGATTGTCATCGGACAACCTCTTCCTTTGCATCTGATGTTGAAGAATGATAGGAGAGTTGGCTTTTGCAATTGAGAGCAAGAGGTTTGTTGCTTCATTGACAAATGATGATTATCCACTGAATGGGGGGATTGGTGCAAAGAGATTCTCGTTTTTGTCTTGCGCGAAATGGAAAAAAATGTGCGAGTAATCTAGCCTCCCATACAGTGGGCTTGCAACAGAAGAGGCATTGTTCGATCTTACGGAAGTATTAGGAATGGGATCAAGAACCTGCAGCTGCACAATGCTTGCAAGCAAAATATGTGCCGGAATTGTCATTGTGACGTGGATAATCAGACACACCAAAGCATTCTGTCAAAGAATTCTTTCTTCTTTTTCTTGCTCAATATGTTGTTGGCCCAGGTAAAATCGCCTCCCTTTGTCCTTCTCACATGCCACCCATTGAACGAGCAAAAACTTTTCTCTTTCAATGACACAAAACCCGACGCTACAAGAGCCACTTCTCGCTGCTCCACTGTGGCTGGCCGGAAACAAAAGAAGGCGCCAGATTTGAACAAGTTTGAACAGCTTTTCCGGCCCTCCGTTATTTCCTGACGGGCTCCGTTTTTCGCAAAAGACTAGACGGTTTGGATGTCAACGGCGTTGTTCTAACGGCTTTCCATCACCGAGCTTGGAACGAGTTCTTGTGTACTTGACTTGACTAGCACTGGTGGATGCAAAAAACGGAGACCCTTTGCTTCTATGTACATACGAGAACGATACGCCGTCATGATGAAATGGCTGGACTGGAGCTTTGTCGGTTACATTCCGTGTGGACGGATGGACCTCGAAAGCACCGTTATCGCATCATCCCGAACGGACAGCGACGGCTCTTACGGAGTACTCTCCACCTTTCTTCCTAGTCGCTATAAATAACACGACAGAGAGGTTTTCTTCTTCTCGGCCTCTGGTTGGTTGGAACTTTGGAAGACGCTGGTTGGGTCAAATTCCAGAAGCACCAAGCTCGATCAGGTCGTGTGGCCCGACCCAACCAAAACCAACCGTGGCAGCAACTTTGCGCTGCGCGGATCGAGAACCCAGTAACGAGAGCATCTGCGTTGGCATTTTCGACGAATACAAGCCAATCTGAGGGCTGCCAAGTGGCCATCGCGATCCTAAATGGTCCTTTCTTGTATGCACGGGCGTAAGCGAGAGCGCTGCAAAGCCTCCTCTCCTTCACCGCTGTGACATGGGGGGGGGGGGAGAGCTGCAAGTCCTTCTCGTCTGTCAACCTCTCGCTCTCTTTTCTCTTCTCTCACTGCTTCAAGGCTCGCAGCAAGCAAAGCAAAAAAGCTCCGCAGAAGTGTGGCGAGCCGTAATTCGCCGTTGAGGGGGCCCCGCGACTACCTGTATACACTACTGTACTGTGATTCTACGAAATTTGCCTATCCGCCTGCATTTTTTGCTGCTGCATGTCCCGTAACTCGTACCGTACCGTGGCAAGTAATAACGACGCTGCGACTTACTATTTGGCGAGAAATTTCTGCAGCAACGTCCCATTGCATCGGCGCTTTGCATGTGTGCGTCTTCCATAGGGCGAACCATCGCAGCTGTGGATTGTCGGAAGCAATCCCGCTTTGTCCTCTCGGCTTAGTCTCGCCCAGCCCTGCACACCGGCTAGGCTGAAGGTGGGATGGAGGGGGAGCATTTATGTACGTTCGGCTTCTTGTTTTTACGAGCGTGTCAAGACGAGGTTGAGAGTGAGAGAGAGATACAGAGAGAGAGAGTCGCATGTTGCCCGCATATGCGACGGTGGTGTGTGCTATCTATCGGCTCACAAATCCTTTCCGAGCCACGGGTAAATACGAATTATGCATCGTGGATATGCATCGTGGATGGATGAACGTGAACGTGTTCCACTGAGCAGCAAGCAAGCTCTCAAAGCGAAAACAAAGAGGCCGCGCGCCTGCAGAGGTGACCACTGAACTAGCAAGCATCCCGAGGTCGTTCTCACAGGCCGCAATCATGTTGGCCTAGCGTGAGTCGAGCTGGGTATCAACTGAACTGAGCTTGTTCATGTCTTACCCATCGTCTAACCCATCGGCCAATCGGAGCCTCGTCTGTCTGTGCTACAGTGACCAAGAAGGATCGTCGGGGGTGTTCACGTACAGTACGGGACAAAGTACATAGAAGTGATGTCGAGCTATTATATCCAATGCCTTGTTTGGCACACACACATCTCGGGACATGGAGGGCGGCACGGCACCAGCTCTGCTAGCTTGGGCTTGAAGAGTTTTTCTTTCTTCTTGCTAGACGCTCGCAGGGTCTCAGCTAGGTAGCAGAGCTGATGAGTCGTAGGCGGAGGAATGACGACACCATTACTCTTGTGTTTGTGTGAATTAGAAACTTGAATCGCCTGCGAGCTCGGACAATTGTCATGACTTGAGTGCTTTAGTCCCCCACATAGCACGACATGGCTCAATGTTACAGCGGGGTGAGTTTGAGATGCTACCCAAAGATACGAGTAAGAGTCAATATCAGTGGATGAGCGTGTTCAAGAGGCAGAATTGCTGCATGCCGTAATATTGTAAGCAATTGCAAAAAAAAAAAAAAAAAAGACGAATAACGAATATGGCATGTGATTGCGCCTTTTCTATCCAACTTTTCGTTCATTGTAAACAGAGGGGAAAAGCGACAAAAAGAATAATCTTGACCGAGACAGGGGTCGAACCTGCAACCTCCTGATATACTAAATCGTAGTCAGACGCTCTGCCATTGAGCCACACGGCCTTTGATGTTTGGTGCTTTCGTAAACTCATTGAAACAGCTGGAGTATCTGCAGTGATGCCTTCAGCAGAACTGTGCAAGTTTTCAACTTCAAGAACAGTCCTGGATAGGGAACTACACGTGCTTGAACTGTATACATCTTAGTTTTGAATTGATTTAGCCTTGTATTGGTTGAGGTTACTCTCGGTTTGGCAGTGCGTCTCTCGCTGCTGTGAATATCTCACTCGATAATCGCGACTTACATCGGTAAGGGTTTCCATGGCCACCTGCATGTAGTTTATTACAATCATGTTGTTCCCGGTGATAAATGTGTCTTTTAGACCTTATGCCATTATGTCTATATTATAATCAAGAGCTGATGTATAAGACTTTACTGGCCAGCTCGAACATGTTCGTCAGTATCACTCATCCCCCCGGTCATAACACAGCCTAGCTTCTACTTCTATATATCCCATACATAATCTTGTCAATCCAAACCCATTCAGTCATCAATTACAATAACAACCTTTCTAGAACCTCGCTCAATAACAGCATCCAACCAAGCCTTATATCCAGCAAACATCCTCGACACATTCGCATCCCCCCATCTCCCACAAACCCTCCTCAACGCCTCATACCGCTCCCTCACAAACCTAGCTCTCATCCCCTCGTCCTCCCACCCGTCAACAACACCCTCCCCTATCGCACTGCAAAGCTTCTCTAGACAGACAGGACACACATACGGCGGCTGCCGCTGTGCCTCGTCGACACTGCCGCACCCCTGCATCGCACACGCAAAGTACGTGCAGTGGTCCAGTCCCAGACAGTGACACAGTTCGTGTGCCATGGTCACTACCACTCTCCCAAGCCATTGGGCTGTCGGTGCTTCTGACGGGATCGTGCGGCCGGCATGTATGGTGGCTGCTTCGATTGCCACGTGTAAGGGGCCGCCACCGTCTCGCCGTTGGGACTGAGGGGGTTGCCGTTTTGTTTGCTTGGTGGATGGGTTGGAGACTTCGTGACAGAGCTGGTCGATGTAGGTTGCGCAGTGAGATGCTGGCCATGCGTGACCGTCGTCTGGAGGTGCGCAGAGCGGGTGGTCGCGGAATAGGGAGACGGCTGCGATCCGGCTGCCTCCGTATGCACGGCCGGCGGTGAAGATGTCGCCGTCTCCTTCGTACATGTCCATGTCGAGCAGCATCATGACAGAGTGTACGTCTGACGGGATGTTTTCTGCCAGAGCGTCCAGTATGTCGTCCAAGTTGACCTGCATGGGGGACACTCCATCTGGGGACGCACGGCACCGGATGCCGAAAAGCTCCTTGCTAGGCGTCAAGAGTCCAATACGTCGCTCGGTGTCGGGGGTTTTCAGGATTGTGCCGGTGTACTTGTCCCATTTCTTCCACTGAAAGGGTTTTGTGAAGAGTTTCACGTCCATGCCGTGGAAGAAGGCGGACAGGTACTCTAGAATATCTTGAAGCTTCGGCGGCTCGGCAGCTTGCATGTCCCGGTTTGTTGCTGCATTCGCAGAGGTGCAGACGGACCATGTCTGCATTTTGTACACTTCCTGTGTAATTGATGGACTTGGTACAATGTAGATGGTCTTTCTTTCTCGAGTCACTGGGTTTCGCTCCTCTTCATCTCTCCATTCACGGAAATCTTGCGGCGGATACTCTGGATCTTCGGCAAGGTCGTCATCTGGGAGGATTAATGGCCCAGGAAACGTCATTCCATCTTCAAAGAGCTCTTTGGGCGTTAGTAAACCGAGATGTTTTCTGAAGCGTCCATCTTTGGTTGCTGCTAGAATGCGTTGTCTCTCTGTTGCGCGTTTGAAGCCTACCGTGTTGGCATGTGGTGAGCCATTCAAGTAGAGATGTGAATGTTTACAGGCTTGTTTCGTGCTGGAAGTCTTCATGCTGGATAACGCGATTTTTAACGTAAGGCGTATCAATTGAAGAAGTGATGTACAGAATGAATTGTGTTTCTTCTCACGTTGTTGGAAATATGCGTGATTGATGCATTGGTTATGCCGAGTTGGTCTTAATGCGGTGCTGCTGCCTATTCCACCAAGGAGCTAAACTTGCCTACCTACTCGGGTGCACACAGAATCCGTCGGTTTAATTAATGTCTGAAATAACTGTTAGTATCATGAAGAATGAGACTTTTTCCTGATTCCTATAGTAATATGTCTACAATGCTCCGTCTACCTCGTTGCTCTTGTTCATGTTCTGGCCATAGGGTAAGTCAGATTACATGGATGCATGGCCTAGCTGGCCACCCTCCAAATGGGCCACACGCGCGTTTTCCCTCATCAACACCACCATCGTTCAACCGCGTTTTCTCGTGATGATAAGATGTTCTTTGTCCCAGCAGTTTGGCTAGCTCTTGTGATCAAAAAATGCCTGAATATACAGAAGACAACGTCCTCTCAGCCATAAAAGACATCGAAGGCGGCCTCTCTCAACGAAAAGCTGCACAACGCTGGAAAGTCCCTCGAGCAACGCTTCAAAAGCGTTTAAGCGGCGGCGTCACACGAAGGCAGGCAAACGAACACAAGCAGCGCCTTTCTAAAGACAAAGAGCATCATCTAGCACAATGGATTCTAGCTTCAGATGAATTGGGCTTCCCGCCATCGTACCAAGAGGTCAGAGATTTCGCTGCCAAGGTTGTCAAAGCTGGTGGCGATGATGAGCCGCTTGGGAAAGCTTGGTTGGAGAACTTTTTACGGCGAAATACGCAACTCAAGAATGTCAAGTGGCCTCATCTTAAAGCCGCAGAGAGAACGCCCTGATTTGAGCTTATCTGGAGCCTAAGCGGCCTGGCTTTGAATTGAGATGTGTAATGCTTTTGGGAAGTAGGGCCGGATTGACATTCATCGTGACTTCGACCTGTTTTGACTTCGACCAGCGTTGCATTACAGCATCTTCATCATGTAAATCAGTGCATGGACAAAGAGCTACTGGTACAGCCCCCTTTCTTACAGGCCTTTTCATTGTCTCTGCGTTTACCATCTTTCATCCGCTTCGCTCCGGATTTACACCAAGATGTAATCCTCGTTGAAGCACAGGACGTCGAGTACAAAATCTCTGTGCCAATGCATCATGTTCTACTTTTACTACGTAGAAAAGCGGATCAGCCCATCAGACGTCTTGTAGCTTGACATAATTTTCGGCAGTTGGATGCCAAGCCGATGGAGAAACGGGAGGATCCGCGTTGCATTTCTTGGCCTTGGGGGTCGCACTCAGGACGGGTCTTTATGGGAAGCTCAGCTCTCATGTCCGAACATGGAAAGAAACTTATCAATGCAAATAAAAAAGCTCAGATTCACTTATTTCCCAGTCTATTATTTGATGACAGCAGTAATGGATGTGTGTGATATACAACTTACGTGGCTCATTTGTAGGCCCGTCCAACGCACAAGTTTCATCGCCTGTATCCTTTTCTCACCGCGAGCATGGCATCGGACTATCGTCTCCGTTACCTTATATGTTGAATGTTGATCTATTCAATCGTTGACGCACATGACCCAGCCCCTGACCATATCCAGCCTCAACATTCGAATTATCTGATCTCTTGGGGGCTGGCATCTACTCCAGTTTTAAACGAGTTTCATCTCCGGAATTACCGGCATCCAGCTTCGAGAGCAATGCTCAAGATCGCTAGCAACTAGCCCATCAACCCATATCACTACCAAGAGGATCCAATGATCATTGATGAGGACGAGATGCCAACTACTCTGCTGATCGCAATGGTAGTCAAATTGGCTCAAAAGCCGGAGATGCAAATCCCAGTCTCAAAAAGGACAGGCATAGCGATATTCAGGAACCGGTTATTCTCCCGGTTAAGTACCAGCCCCTTTGTTCGCTTCTCTGACGTCGTTGTCCCTATTTAAGAGATTGCTGTTATTGGGATGGCCCTGGTACCATGCATGCATGCCGATCTGGTGGGGAATTTACGGCTCTCGCAGATATGATGCTGTTTTCTTCTACCTTTGCAAGATGCATGCTGTATATTGGAAGAGACATCAACTCGAACAAAGCTTCCCTCTTCGTATACCAAATAAATAAATTGATAAGAGTAGAAGTGGCCACAGCGTTGTGGTTGATGTAGTGTAAAAGGTGAGTTCATGTTGTATGCGGACCCGCAGTCAAGTCGCCGAATGTTGGCTTCGATCAACTTGCATCAACAAAACATGACTCGGGATAATCCTGGTAGACTGCTAAACAAGCTTGCCAAATGCAAAATGGGGTATTCCGTTTGCTCATCAATTCAGTCAAACCAACATCGCAATCCTAGCATTAAACTTTAGCGCAGCACTATGAATCTGCCGATCGTGGGGCAGATGAATCCCGGTCTGGGGTATCCAGGTCCATCACAATCTCGTCGTTTCCCAATAGAGGCCACCTCTGACCATGGCGTGCTGCCTCTGGCTGGAACCCCTTGTGGCTCACATTCGGTCATTTTTCGACATTCTGGCGTCAACCACTGCCGACATCTTGCATGCTACTGCACCCTGTTCCCCCTAAGCTGTTCCGTCCTCTCATGCTCCCAGCATCCTAGATATCGCTGGGAAATTAGTTAAAGCGATATCCTAAGCTCTCCACACATCCAAGCGTAAAGAGAGCTTGCGATCTTCATTCTGTACCCCTTTCTCTGGCAGCTTCTCTATGTCATTCCGCACAGCAAGCGACTCATGTGCGACCAGATCGGCGAATTATGAGACTAACCCACGAGATGCTGCACCATGCTTGGGCGCTTTATGTTTCGCTCCCCTGGTGCTGCTGAAGATTTTACCAGAATTCTAATCGCGATGCCTGTCTTGATGCCTAAGCGAGCCTGTCAAGAAGAATCTCAGCTGCAGGGGATAGCTCGCATATTGATACATATGACCAAGCTTAATGAGATGACTGCCGATCACTCGAGGAGATGATGTAGGAAACAGACCAGGAGAGCAACAAAGGAGAGAGAAGTCGGAGGATATAAAGAAGACCAATTCACCCACAACTTCTCATAATCATCATCAGCAAGCAATTCGCTTTCAGTCACTCCTTTGCACAGCAAGCCAAACAATTCAGAAGTTCTCACAACTTCAGTCACTCTTTTAATATATTTTCTGCCTTCCAAATACCGCCAAAATGCGTTTCGGACTCGCTGCTCTCTTCCTCGTTGTCGGCACTGGCCTTGCCGCCCCTCTCGGTTCGTGAACCATCCATTCTCATCAGTAGTAGCTCCTGCTAACTGCTCAACAGCCCGACGATCTCTCGTCAGCGATGTCGGTGGCCTTCTCGGTGGAATCACCCAGGGCGTTGTCGTCGACGTCGTCGCCCTTGAGACCCAGCTTGTCGCCCTCCTGGGCCCCATTGTCCAGAAGGTAAACCAAGAACCCAGCTAGTTCCGTTACTTGTACATTGCTAATCTATTGATTCCCAGATCGAGGCTGTTCTTCCCGTGACCCTGGCTGCCAAGCTTGTCAGCCTTGTCCAGGGTGTTGAGGGCAAGGTCGTTGCCACCGCCGGCATCAACAACGTTGTCCAGATCGTTGGTGAGGCTCTCGCCATGGTCTCTCAGGGTGTTGACCTCAACGCCGTCAACGCGTACCTCAATGCTGCCACCGGCGGCCAACTTACCACCCTTGAGGTCGCTCTTGGTGTCGACAACCTTACCGAGGTTCTTGGCCTTGCCCAGGTTGCCCAGGTTGCCAAGGTTGCCCAGTAAGGGTAACACTTTCTATTGGAGGGAGCGGAAACATTGGTTTCTGCATAATGGTATATGCAGTTGTGATTCATGTTAAATAGCCTTACTAGCAATATACGAGCATTTTGGGGTGTCTGGCGATTGAAGATACCCATTTCTTACTTAGAATTTTGTTCCTCTATGGCTGCGTGACTTGCCAACCACTCACAAATTAACTGTAGATTCGCCATAATTGGATGTAGGCTCTGATTTGGGTAAACTGCTAAAAGTAAGTCTGCAGTAGTATTATGCGAAAAAGCGTGAGGTCTTGGTTGATACGTGAGTTCGTGTCTAAGTTATAACTGCTTCTGCTTCGCATTCGTAGCGTGAATTGTAAGATATGTCGTAGCGGCGTTACGATGTTGTTACCTGGTCGCTATTGAGACTGAACGCAGGTGTGGTATTCGAGTTGTACTCCGTAGACGAAATAGAAATGATACTACACGGCCAAAATTCGGAGGCCGGTATAAGACGGCATCGAAATCATGACTTTCCCAGAAGCACTTTCTGCGGGAGTACCTGAACACCCTGCTGCTGCATGACCACTCGAGTGTCGTGTACTTTGCGGTCAATGACTTTGAATTCAAAAACGCCTTCTAGATCTGTGCGAAACTTCAAAAGCTGGTCCTGTGCCTTCTTTATCTCATCTGGCTTGTTATCTTGAACGACATGCGCCTTGACCTGGAGAATCCAGCGATTCTGCGAATCAACCCGTGTGAGAGAGTCCCAAGCTGGCAGAGTAGGCTTTGGTTCCGTTGGGGGAGCCGACTTGGCTGCAAGGGGAACATAATCCTCAAGCGGTCCGACAAAGTAGTGCCTGGTGAGACAAAATTCCACATCGTCGCGAAAGAAGCGGTACATCTCTTCTACTGTCTCTGTTTTGTACCTGGGTTTTGTTAGTATGGAATGAAATTGACCAGGGCAAAATACAACTGACTGATGGTTGTTTTCTCGTAGCACAGAGAGTAGCTTTCTCTGTTCCCAAAGCTCAACTTTTTTGCGTTGAGTGAGAATGGGCTGATTCCGAGGGGGATCTGGAAAGTCTGTCCATCTCAGGATGCCTGACACAGTGTCGAGATCAACTGGTTCGGCAGAAGGACCCAAGTCCCGATCCTTGTAGATTTCATAGCGAGCCTGGAGGACAAATGACTGGCGAGAAAGATTCTGATGCAGTTCCTTCCA